TATTTTTTATAGATAAAGTATTTGAACTGATTTTTGAATATGTTATCAAGACTGCAAATGTCTAGAGTAACATCAAATATCTTTGTAAAATTCACTTCCGGTCGCGCGTTTTAGTGTCCGCAAAATGAGAATTTGTCCGAGTGAGATCTCAGAAACTGTATGAGATTTAGACACCAAACTTATATGAGTATTAGACCTTGAAGAGTAGACAAAACCATTTGGGCAAAGAGCGTCAGTCGTCACTTCCGTTCGTCACAGGAAGTGATCAAAGAAATCAAAAATTTCAACTTTTCTCTTTTGGAGTAAGACTTGCATCATATAATTGTATCTTTTTCACAGTTACGATATGTGTTGGTCCCACCGGAAACAAAAAATGACAACTTCCGGTTATAAGAGAAAAACTACATAATAGGGTTTTTTAATTTTCCCATACATATCGCTTATAGAAAGAGTTCTTTAAATGTTTTTTATATATGTTATTGAGACTGCAGATGTCTAGAGTGACGTGAAATATCTTAGTAAAATTCACTTCCGGTCGCGTGTTTTCTTGTCCTCAAAATGAAAAGCTATTTCAGCGAGATCTCGGAAACGGCATGAAAGTAAGACACCAAACCTATAGGAGTAATAAAACTCGGTGAGAAGGCAAAGCACATAGGGTTAAAAGCGTCAGCCGTCGCTTCCGGTCGTCACAGGAAGTGATCGAAGAAATCAAAAATTTCAACTTTTCTTTTTAAAATTAAAACTTTCATCACTTTATTGCTTCCCTTTTGCTGTTTTGAAATATGTTAGATTCCAAGGGGAAAAAACTTTAAACTTCCGGTTTTAAGAGATAAACTACCTTATTTCGTGGTTTAACTTTCTCATAAATATAACTTATATATCAGTATTTGAAATGATTTTTACATATGCTGTAGATACTGCAAAAGTCAAGAGAAAATTCAGAGATTTTTATTCAGTTCACTTCCGGTCGAGTGTTTTCCTGTCCTCAAAATTAGAATTTGTTCTCACAATTGTTCGGCAACAGTAATAGACTGAAGTCTAAAACTTTCAGGACTTATAGTCAGTCATCAGTTCATTTGCTTCGTGTAAAAATCGTGTGTCGTCATTACTTCCAGTCGTGACAGGAAACGAAGCAAAAAAGTATTGTTTAAGTTATTTTGTTTCTACATAAGTTTTAGGCTAATACCGATGTTGGAAAAGACATGTTGATGCAAACAGGAAGTAGTATAACGGAAGACCTTCTCAATACTAGTAATGAGTTTCTAGTTATTATTCTTATTCTTATTTTTTTGACTTTCTAATTTTGTGCACGCGATTTCTCGAAGACTATTGGATGGATTTACATGAAATTTTCAGGAAAGATGTGTCGTAACATGAACTTGATCTATCTGAGAGAAAATTTGGAAATTCGCTTCCAGTGCCAAGTTAAGGACCATTTTCTGAATTCAAAATGACATTTTGTCCGCGGATAATCTCAGGAACGGTAAAAGATATCAATGTGAAACTTTCAGGGATTATAGATCGTCATAGGTACAAGCCGGGTCGCTCCTTTTCGTTCGTCGTCGGCACTTCCGGTCGTCACAGGAAGTGATTAAAGAAATCGTGAAATTTCAACTTTCTTTTTTTAAATTAGTACTTATATCAAATTATTGCATCTCTTTTGTAGTTTCGAAATATGTTGGTCCCACCGGAAACAAAAACGTCAACTTCCGGTTATAAGAGAAAAACTACATAATTTGAGTATTTTTCTTTCCCATTAATATCTTTTGTAGATAAAGTATTTGAAATGAATTTTAAATATGTTATTCAGACTGCAATTGTCTAGAGTAACATTAAATATCTTTGTAAAATTCACTTCCGGTCGCGTGTTTTTCAGTCCTCAAATTGAGAATTTGACTGAGCAAGATCTCGGAAACACTAAGAGATTAAAACACCAAACTTATATGAGCAACAGACCATAAAATGTAGGCAAAACAGTTTGGGATAATAGCGTCTGTCGTCACTTCCGGTCGTCACAGGAAGTGATCAAAGAAATCGAAAATTTCAACTTTTCTTTTTTTAATTTAAAATTGCATCACTTTATTGCATCTTTTTCCCAGATTCCAAAGATGTTGGTCCCACCGGAAACAAAAACGACAACTTCCGGTTATAAGAGAAAAACTAAATAATTTGAGTATTTTACTTTCCGATAAGTATTCTTTATAGATAAAGTATTTGAAATGAATTTTAAATATGTTATTCAGAGTGCAAATGTCTAGAGTAACCTTAAATATCTTTCAAAAATTCACTTCCGATCGCGTGTTTTCCTGTACTCAAAATGAGAAGTTGTCTGAACGAGAACTCAAAAACTGGTAAAAGATTAAAACACCAAACTTTTATGAGTAATAAATCTTGAGGAGTAGGCGAAACCATTTGGGTTAAATGCGTCAGTCGTCACTTCCGATTGTAACAGGAAGTGATCAAAGAAATCAAATATTTTAACTTTTTTCTAAAATTAAAACTTGCATCACTTTATTGTATCTCTTTCGCTGTTTTGAAATTTGTTAGATTCCACCGGAAACAGAAACGTCAACTTCCGGTATTAGGAGATAAACTATGTTATTTTCATATTTAACTTTCTCATAAATATTGCTTATCGAAAAAGTACTTGAAATAATTTCATATATGTTGTAGATACTGCAAATGTCTAGAGAAAAGTCAGAGATTTTTTACAAAATTCACTTCTGGTCGCGTGTTTACCTGTCCTAAAAATAAGAATTTGTTCTCACAATATTACTCGGAAACAGTAAAAGACTGAAGTCTAAAACTTTCAGGACTGATAGTCATCAGTTTATTTGAGTCGTGAGAAAATCTTGTTTCGCCATTACTTCCGGTCGAGACAGGAAGTGATGCAAAAAATGTGAATGGTTAATGGTTAGCACGTTGGATTTTCACGCTGACGACCAAGGTAAAATCCTTCCAGAGTGTCTTAATTTCTCTTATCACTTTTTCAGCTTGAGTTTTCGTGTTTTTTTTTTTTGTTTTTTTTTTGGATTGGACGGAAGACCTCTCATTGCTCGCAATGAGTTTCTAGTTTACATTACTGTTATTCGGAGTTGACTGTTCTCCTGTATGTCCCTACCTAGGACGATCGGGGGTCGACCCTTGGCGTTGTCTTTTTAAAGGTTGACGCTCGTTATTTTCCCGTGGAGTATCCTGGCTCGCTGGATTTTGCTGAGCTGTAGATGTCAAGGGAGTGGATCCAGCGGGTGGCGTGTACACTTCTCCGTCAATATAAAGGATATCACGGACAAGTTTTGTTCTCTTTTTATCTTTCCTTGCTTGACGCATCACTGGGTAAAGCTTCTTCCTTCTCTCTTCTATTTCCTGTGGGAACTGTTCATTTACCCATACTTTTGTTCCGCAAAGTCTCCGTGCGGCATTGGTCCGAATGAATTCCCGGTCCTTGAAGAAACTGAACTTTGCCACTATATTTCGTGGGTATTCGTTGAACTCACTCCACTTGCCAACCCTATGGACTCGGTCGAATGATATATCATAATCTAATCTGAATCTCCTTTGTATGAAATCCTGTAGCAGCCTCTCTGTGTCTTCCCATGCATGCTCTGGAATACCCGAGAACACAAGATTATCTCTCATAGATCTTGCCTGGAGATCAGTCACTGAACTTTGCAATTTCTCATTAGCCTCTCTGATTGTTTCCAGTTCATCATTCACTTTATTATCTGTAAGTTTCTGCATATGTATACACTGGTCTAGGCACTTTCTGTTGTTATTTATCACTGTTCTATTTGCCTCCGTTGACTCCTTTACCGAATCGAACACCTTTCCTAATCCACTCACATTAGATTCTAGACTTTGGAAATCAGTCTTGATCATCCTTACATCCTCATCCAGTCTGCTTACGTGCGATTTCACAGAGTTGATGGATCCTCGAATCTCTCTCAAAGACAAAATTTCAGCCTCAATTGCTGTTAATCTATTTTCCAGTTGTTCATTTTTCAGTTCAATGTTTGTAAGTTTTAAATTCATTTGCACTAAGAGGGAATGTATTGATGTCAAGGACACTTCACTCTTCACGTTTTCACTACTTGTTTCATTTCCATATATAATGGATTGACTTTCTGCTAAAAGGTTTGTAGTATCAGATACAGACATTCTCAATTTGAATGAAAAACAAAGAATCCAGAAAGTATCACTATTCTAGCCACTTCAGTTACTTACATCGTTATTTCACTGTACACTTTACCCTACACTATAGGGTGAGCTGATCTCACGGGCGAACCAAACACATACTCCGAACAAAGAAAGTTTGTAATAACGCAAAAACAGCCAAATCATTGGCAAAATTGATCAAACTATATCACTAAAACCACGTTATTCAATATTCACTTACTCGATCCTCTTCAAAACAGTTTGGAAACAGTATTTTTCAATTTTTTTCAATTTTTTCAACGGAGCCCAAAACAACAGCACTTACTGGCTCGGTGACCTCTGACCCCCTCCCTGGAATCCCTTGTTTTCTAAATGAAATATGCCCGATAAACAGCATGCAATTCATAGCGCTCCGGATTTCTTTCTTCACAACTGTTTATAAACTTCAAATTAAACATGTAACACTGTATTTTGGGTAGTTAAATAGTAGTGCTAGTTATTTTTGTTTCTCTGTTTCCTTTGTTTTATGAATTCTTAACTTTTTTCTTTGTCTTGAGGAAGGGACAGGTCGTCCTGAAAATTTGACAATTTTTATTGTTCGTGTCGTTGGTCATTTTTAGTGCTTATATATATATATATATATATATATATATATATATATATATATATATATATATATATATATATATATATGAGAACCTTCTCATTGAACTTAACATTTGTAATATCATGATGATTCCAGATGAAAATCATCTTTAAGTCATGAGCCATAGGAACAATGGCCAGACAGACAACTCAATATGTTCCCTCTTCTTGGGAGATAAATATACAAATAAACTAAAACAATCACTTAATGTCATTTATTCAATGGCAATGATCTCATTTTCTTCCTTAGTTTATGTAATCCTTAACAAGTTTTATTGAATTCATTGAATTGCATTTGTTTTAAAACGATGGTTCTGTCGGTCTACACAAACCGGTAACCTCAAACATCCTTAGATAGAATCTCCTGTAACAACCTCCACAGTAGTAGGGACTGCAAAAGAGAATTTCAATCAGTGTTACATGAAAAAAAGTTCTATTTTTAAAAAATATATATTGATTTGTTCCAGTTTTACTTCAAAAGAAAAGTTTACCTTCGTTATTATTGTGAAATATACAATGAAATCTTAGAATATATCTTCTGGTTAAGTAGTTAGATGAGTTTGAATAAAAATGAAATCTTGTGAAAAGTGGAAGTAAATGTTTAAATTATTATAAGCTTAAAAATTTCTACTAATTAAGTATATAAAAGAACAAATGAATCTGAGGGCTAAAACTTGCATATACACATCGTTTTGATGTTAAAAACAGGAAAGATTTTTTTAGCCCATCAAAACTAACCTGGCAATGGGAAGGGAAAAAATTGCATCTTATAACAAAATGCTTGGAAGGGTTGAAATGTACATGAATATAATCTATTTTAACAATGTTAAAGAAAAAGACGAACAAGAGGGGGAAAAGGGCAGATACTTAAATTATTTTTAAAAATTATTTTCAGATATGCTGTAGGCAATTGATAGAAAAAAAGGTTATGACATTTACTAATGTATAATGTTCTTACCGGCATTGAGCACCTGGAATGTTTATACACCTGTTCGGTGTATTACAAGGGTTTCTTTTACAAACTGATATTGGTTTCCCTTCAGGACAACCTGATTTAAAAGTTAAACAACATTACAACTTCAATCAGGTCAATTCAGTAATGTGAACATTAAAATCTTTAAAGCCAAATTTCATTTTTTTTTTCCCTAAAAAGCAGTATGTCAAGTGCAGTGTACGTTATAACATAGCTACTTTTAAATACATGTATGTATATTCAAAAGTTTGAAAAATATATAAAGCGTCTGAACATTTGCGTAGAAAATAGCTTTATATTCACTGCAATGTATCACGTCAGGTACTTACTGTTTTGTCCGAGTATCAGAGCGGCTAACTGACAAACAACTAACATCAATATTATCTTCTTCATTGTTAAATGGAAGAACGAAACTAACATTTTTATTTACAAAACTTTGTAAAACCCACGCTAAATTTCCACGTTTAACATATTACAAATGAGCGAAAAATCCAACAGATTTTCCGAGATCGAAAGTGCAGAGTATTTTGTTATTGTGATATAATTAATAGACTTTGATCAAAAGATTGATAACAAAAGTTGACTGTTTTTAACTAAGACTGAATTTTTTATCTAACCATTCTCATTCAACAAAAAAGTATATAATACATTTAATATTTTGACAGGAAAACCCGAATGCCTAATTTCAGTGATAGCAGCCTTTGAATTCTTTAAGAATCACATGCCTTTTTTACATACACGTACTTCGGCAATAGGCCATTACGTTCGTTGTCTTTATTTTATTGCCTCCTAGTTTTCGTACAATGGATAATAACGATTTATCATAATCCTTTACTGAGATGAACATGTACTTAAGAAATAAACAACAATGTTAAAAAGTTCTCTGGGAAATGAACTTGGTTGGTCACGTGATCAAATCCTGTGAAGCCCGAAGGGCTTCTCAGAAGATTTGATCACGTACCAACCAAGTTCATTTCCCAGTGAACTTTTTAACATTGTTGTTTATTACTTTTATTTACATTTGAGACGAATATTCTGAACAGAACTGCATTTATTATACGAACGGCCCGCCGTATTGCTATGTTGTGACGCGCAATGACCTAGAAGCTGTTTGGTCTTGAGAGTTCGCCTCGCTCCAACATTTGAATATTTACATTGGTGTTCAGCATTCCAGTTCAGGAAATATCTGTTCATAATGAAAAAAACAATGATAGCTACTGGGAATAATCTTACTATTATTGTATGAGTTCTTTATATATGAAGTCAAAAGCGCTGCTATCGTCTTCAGTTTACATACCTTCAAAGGAATTTCGGGTTAAAAAGGTAAGCGTGATTTTAGGCTAATTAGGAAACATTCTTCACAACGAAGGAAGATCTAATGATCATTTGTTGAACGAAAAAAAGAAATATATGTTTCAATAATTTTATCTTTTTCATCGCTTTAACGGCTTCGAAGTTCCAAAAGTGTCACTGTGACAGAAATATGTAGACAAGATATCGTCTCGCTGTGTGATTCGGTCACGCCATGACCTCTGACCCCCTAATAAGTTCATACAGAATTGAACATATTTTCTCTTCAATAGGTTCATCTAAGAAAAATATTTGCAAATGTAAATAAATAAAAAAAACTTCAACATTCATAATACTGTTTACATTGCTTAAAGTCATCTATGGCGTATTTTTGATAAGCTCAGATACGCCATACATGTATATAGCTTTAACGATTACAATAAACTAATTTTTATCCCATGTTTACCCCTTTATCCCGTGGATATGACTCATTGGATAAATTTTTCATAATCCACAGTTGTGACGTCACAATGGTTTTTGCGTTAGCGCGATGAAGTAAAATAAAGTGGAGTCGTATATAAAACAGTGTAAAACATTGGTTGTGAAGTATTAAACATGGGATAAAAAGAATCTCCCATGATTTGTAGTTGGATATGACTTTTATCCAACTCGTTGTGTGTTTTTATCCCCTCGCCAAGGCTCGGGGATAAAAAACACACAACTCGTTGGATAAAAATCATATCCAACTACAAATCATGGGAGATCCTATATTTATCTCTAACTGCAAATACATTTAAAAGTTTTGACGTATTAGTGCAATTATAGAAATTAACAGGGAAAACAATAAGCGGCGTTTGGATTATTTCGTAATAATATTTTGTATGATAATTGGCATACAATGACGTATATAACATGACGATTTTGTTTAATGACATACGAACTAAAATTAGATAGATGAAAAAGTTGTGTTAATACACTGTAGGTACACATAAGCAAGTAAGAAAGGAACGAGTGTGTATAATTACGTTCTGGATGCACATAGGTGATGCTTAAGCAGAGCTAGGTATTATGACAATGGCTGTGCCAATGTAAGCCTGGTTAACAAACATGGGTTCTAGACACAAGGAGATTATTGTAAATAATAATTTTAAACTAAAGAGGAAGAAAATAATTACCCTTCGGAATTATTAAAAGGTTAAATGTAATCAACATAAGGACGACCGCTCCTCAGCCAGGAACGATAACCTAAATTTATTATTTAATTTAAATAATCTAAATATAAAGCTTAAAAATTGAAATCTTTTCGTACAAGAATATTTATTTCATGCATCTTAATATGATTCAGGGTTCCTTGAAGTCTTAGATACGTTCTTTCAAAAAGCTGACACAAACCCAATAAAAATACAAAAAAGAAAGACATTTTCAAAGCAATCAAATTTATTTTTAACTAGCCTTAGATAACAATGCTTAGTAGTATAATATAAATTAGAAATGATCTGCAATGGATTTGCAATGATAGAACATGTAGCAATTAAAGTATACTGAATGACACTGAAATGTCACTGAGAGACTCCTTTTAGTGACTTTTCAGTAACATTTCAGTGGTCATTCATATCCATTTTATATTTCAGCATCCTGTGATGTAAAAGGACACATTATTTTTTATGAACATTTATATTAATTTCTTTCTTCTATGTGGTCCTTGAACATTATACATTCAATTAACATAGTAAAGATAAAAATGAATACAATATTATTTTTTAGAAAAAAAATTTCTAGAAAAAATCTAGAATCGTATTGTGATCTCACCTTTATGTTTGTCTATCAAAGTTACGACTATTCAATTGAAATATTGTCGTACTTGTATGCTATGTTTGACTTTTTTCTCACTCTGCATCATCTGATAATTTTTTGTAAAAATATTTCGTCTTGCAGATGAGCAGGTAAAGAAATAAACCATGATTTACCTTTGATATCATTTTGTCAATTATAATATGAACACAAATGTTGAATATTTTTAAAAAGTCTTTTTTTTTTTCTAGATGTTTTTCTGGTCTAAAAGTTTTTCTAATGTCTGTTCAAGTGCCGTTCTCTCTCTTTCCATTTTTGCTGAAAAAATTAAAATAATGACTGTAAATATAGGTTTTATAACTTGTGTGAGTTACTTACATATGTACTTTTTTCTCCAACTGTTGTACCTTAATCTTTTTAATTGTCAATAGACACGAGGTTCGCTTGGCTAGAGTGTATTGACAATTAAAAAGAACTGGTAAGTAACGAGCACACCTTATGGAACTCTTTTCTTCTTTTCTCTTTCAGCTACTAAAATTCTCAGACTATCTGTACATGATTACTGCACGAAAAAATCACAAACCATTTTACGTAGCACAGAATGACATACATTAGTTGTTTACTAATATGTTAGTCAGAACCTTAAAAGTAAATCACTGTACGGGAGTTAATAAATATATATTGTTATACCCTTACAAATATCTTTTATGATTGGTTCCTGTATAAATCTTTGCTAAAAAGTCTAACATTTCCGATGTTTTACTGAGCGGTCATAAAAATCGATGTTTAACCGCAGAGTGAGATATTGGACCTGTCGATGAGATATTGGACCGCTTACGTCACATTGTGGGCGGGATCAGCTAAATCTTATTTACATTCGTTCGTGTTCTACAGTGGGGGGAATTGATCGAGTTTTACCGCAATGCAGGTAAAGGAAATTTACATCATGGAAATAAAAGGTATAACAAAACAATTATTGGCTGTGTTCTGGGGCAAAATGCGTTTTTTCGACCCCTCGAACCAAACTGTTCTTTTTGTCTGGTTCTTGGGTCCGACGAAACACATGTTGCCCTCGAACCCAGTCAATAAATGTTTAGAAGTGAGGGGAGGAAATAAATTAATTCTACAAACTTGTTTAATAAAAGAAAATCAAAATTTGTTGGGGAAATAATGATACACGAATGCCTTAATTGTTCTTGATCTTTTTTCTCAATATACATTTATAAAATATCTAATAGACTGGTTAAACTTATATCAAATAATTTGAATGATCGGTGCATAAATAATCAGGTTTACGAACCTTTTTCAGATAAATTATTTAATACGTCTGTCAGAGAAAATCCTTTCTTCAGCAATAAGTCTGTGTCCTCCAGTAATTTATCCACCAGCACGTAGAGAACTGAAATAGATGATGATTTCAAATCAACCAAAAAAGTAATCACTGTGCATGTCATAATTTTACTGGTATAAATACCCGGTATTTTTGTTCACTGCCAGTATTTACAAAAAATGTTTCTCATACTAAATGTATTTATGTATTCCTTTTATTTATTTCTCAGCTTAATATAGGATTGCAAATAACAGCCTGCAATACTAAACCCACGCTCTGTTTTAAAATAAGTTGTCTTTCGTGAAATGAGTACACCAGTTACAAAGTTTAAAATGAATGGGCATGTTAGAAAAAAAAACATTCTATATTTAAATATTCTTTCTGTAAGTGAGATAGTGTGTTCCATTACTTACGATTGTCCCTAAAGGAATTTTTGCGAGATGAAATAGTGCTTTCTGAAAAGAAAACATAAAAGACCACTATAATTCATTAAGTAAGTACCAAATATCGTTTTTCGCAATCATTTTTTTTAAATCATAAATCAACCAAATATACAATTTAGTCTTAGTATTAAACCTATTTTGAAATCATTCGAATGAAATGTTATTATAAGCTCATTCAAGCTCACAAAATATACCTCACTATTTAGCATATTATTTTAGCTTAATCTGCATTCGATTTTCATATGCATATTTTTCTTATAATAATACATTTAACTTACTCATGACTCAACTAGTTTCAAGTCAAAACAAAACAAATAACAACATATTATATTTAAAAAATCTCATAACATAAATACACATGTATGACAAACAATGCATTTGTATTCCTCGATCTTTCGCACTATCGGCATGTGTATCTACTGTAAGGGGTCCGGCTGTCTGTGTTTAGTGCCCTGTTCACAGATCTGTATTGTTTTTATATTTTTTCGAGATCGATCACCTTTTGTTGTCTTCGCCTTTTTCATAATCATTGCCAAATAGGTAGGTAAAATTTCTTGTTTAATTTAAGTTACGCCATTTTTTCAAAATTCATGTAGATTCGCCTGAAGAGAGAACAAAATATGGGGACTAGGGTTATTGAACACACACACATTTTCTCGTGCGATAACAAAAGACTAAAACGACAGTTATATGCTGTAATAGGGTATTTTTATATTCATGTTCGTACATATTCACCAGAAATAAGAAAATTGACCACATTAATCAATTAAAGAAACTAAAACTTTTGTAAATATATATTGTTACTAAAGTAGAAATTAGGTAACTTCTCTTGTCTTGGTGTTTTAGCTTTTGAAAAATTCAAGCCTTGATATGATAATATTTTGGCTACTAGCACTAATGTAAGCTTTTATCATTAAACCTGTGACCCTAAAAGATGTAAAATGATATGGCGAGTTATGGAAACTTACTATTATCAAGAAATCTGCCAAAACCATCTTTCTCGACTGAAATACAAGAAATATGGATAATTTCATAAAAGTTTGTGTAATATATCAAGAAATAACTTATTACAGTATCTGACATATTATTCTTCAAAAATCATTAGCTACTTTTTCCACCTTGTTCTGTTTGAGATCTCGCGGACATGAGAGAGGCTAAGTGTTTCAGTCGATCTGTGTCTGAAACGGATTTTTCAGGTAAGGGTTCATTTAAAAACGTCCCCAGCTGCACAGGAACTGAAATGAAAAAAAGAAATTGTCACATTTCAATGTCAATTTTCATACAATTTTTTTTCGTAAATTTGTCATTAATTCAGTGAAGACATGAAAATCTTGTTTGACATTCTTTTTCAAATCAAGTAAGATCATCGAAATTTATTCATGGTATTTTCGCAAACTCTCCTTAGGATTGATGGGAATTTTGTGCATCAAAGAAGGGAAATTATACCTTTCTCATCCTTTACAGATTCTTCGAATGATTTAAGGCCTTCATCACTTTGCTTTATTTCATCCTTTAACGTTGCTTTTAGTTTCTGTTAATCAAAATTCAACGTTTAAGATTGATAGTCTTTCTCCAGCAATATAGTTAAAAGTGAAATTTTAACACCTCCTTTTAAATATTCTCTATATTTTAGGGGATATAGAAGCAAAATTAATTAAACATGCAATAGATAATATGTTTACTTGTATTATATATAAACAATATCACTATTCAAATGTAAATATTTGTGAAAATTACTGAATTCGTTTCTTCTTCATTTATTGATCTATCTCCAAACTTTGTGCAATAAAAGTTTTCAAAATTGCGTAATTTCTTTTCTTTATTGCAAAGACACATTTTCGGTAGAAAAACGCGAACAGTTCCTTGAAATCACACCCTTCTTTCAAAATTTATGAGTCAGCTTACCTTTAAAACGGTAATTTCTTCTGGTGATAAAAGCAACGATGTCTGTGCGCTTGCTTTGTCGGATATTTTAGGTGATGCCATATCACTTTCCTTCGCAATTGATTCGCTCTTAACAGTGTCAGAGGAATCCTTTTCATCATTATTATTCTTGATTTCATTTAGCTAAATTAAATAACAATTCATCAAAACTTTGTCAAGAAAGTGTAGAATATTTAATTTAAGAGTAAACACACAATATGGATACTATAAAGAGAGATAAGATTGAGTCACCCTTTACAGGATGAAAAGGGTCTATACTTACAAGATCACGAAGCTCGGATACCTGTTACAGAAACAAATAAAACTTCTCAATTATGTTTTAATTTTTATGAAAATTTATGTTATATAAAATGACTCATTTCTAAAGTGTTTACGATAAAAGAAACTTAAAGTTATGAACTGCAAAAGTAAAACATATCTTTGAATTTAGGTTCTCCACCTCAAATAAAATATTATCATTTTTAAAGGAAATAAACAGAATGAAAAACGCTAGACACAAATTTTGATTTAGACAAGCAATATTTCATGCCTGAATCAAAACTGAAAAAAATTGTACTTCTTTAATGCACATGTATATGTTTATTAGATGTTTCCCACTAAAGAACAATCGATAAATGGTATGTATACTACTTGCTGAAAAACAATCTTTGTATTTGATGAAACTATGTATTTTTTAAACTATTTAATTAATTTACTGGTTACATTATCAACAATTTGAGTTTACCTTTTTGTCTAATGTTTCTCCGTCTGAAAATAAAGAAAACCTTAACGTAATTCGGAAATTTGAAAGAAAATTATACATCTAAACACAGTCATATTTGTTTAATCCTTAGATTGATAAAGCATAAACATTTTTGAGAGAAAAATGTATCTTACCTCTTTGATTACGTAGAACAGCAGCGTATGAATATCCAAAATAAAATAAAACACAGATGACAACAAATCGAGAAATCATCATTTTATTGCTTGTCTGGTGTTTCTTCTAAAAAGAATTCTGTAGTATTCCTTTAACATGCGCCTTATATCACATCTAAATTCTAAATGACGTAAAATAGGGTAAATCCTCAAAATACACAGGAGAAACGGAGAAAGGTCACCTAAGCTCACACCCACTTCCGTTGTTATCGGTTTATTGCTGCCCGGGTGCGTTAATGGGTGTTATCTTTAACAAAGGAATAATTGGGGTAACACCCCATTCAGCTTCCTTTTATTTTCTTGTTCAAACTCTAGATACCACAACCAGTTTCTTCATTTTCAGCCATATGCCACCATCAATTATAAGTTAAACACACTATATAGTGCTCTACATAACATGTTAATAATTAAAAGCATGTATCCCGGAAATCTCTTTTACCTTAAGGGATCTAGGACTTTTAATCAAGCATCTTATAAATGTTTACATTTCTTACATATTTCAAATGCTCTTGTATTGACAGGGAATTATTTCCAATCTGCTAAGAGAATGATAATGCCCACTCCTGAGACATCGTGATGCACATATTTCGAGCGTCATTGCTCTATCCGTAGTTTTGCTTATTTACCTCGCCGACACAGGTATGTTGGGGGAAGTGTTTGTTTAAACGACACCCGCTGTTATCGTGGCAATAAATTATTTTTTGAATTCTTATATAAAGGGAAATAAGCTTCCATTTCCCTTGTGTGGTTTTCGTAAGTGGTTTTAAAGTACTGAATCCGTTTTGATAAATAATGCTTAGAAAGCATACAAAATTCATTTTTAAGAAAACCTTTTTACATACCTTAAATTATAGTTTTCATGAAAAGACATTCTATTCATGATAGAGAAATAGATCGAGACAATTTCTATAGAGGAAAAACTATTTCGTATAGGTAGAAATCACTAATATATATCACCTTTAACATTCAAAGTACATGTAAAACATGTCTACAAAAATCTGAGATAGAACATCATTATTACAATATTTGTTGTATTCACAATATTTGCGAGTTTCACATTGTTTTATTTCGTAAAAAAATATGTAAATTGATCATTCCTTATTTGAAAGTTCACATCATTAAATCATGTCAAAAAAACTTAGAAGAATAAAGTATTAAACGCTGTTTGTCCTCCGAGAACGGTATTTTAGCTCAAGTCGCTTCTTTAATTCTTTCTGGTCTTCAATGAAAGTGAGCTGTTTCAATTTGTATTCAATTATGTCTCCATTCTGCAAAATTAATGTTCACGAAATATAAGTATATAAATATATTTTATCAATAATCGAACATACATTGTACTCGCATACATATACTTTTTGTATTATTAACAATTAACCATTCGATGACTCCACAAACATTTATATCATCTTTTAAAATATATAAAAATTGTAACTTATTCTTTTATACTATCTGAGCTTAGTTTTGTAATACCTTGTCATTTGATTTGATGGATTTTGTTGGAAACGAAAAACTTAATATCGTTTTTCTCTTTTTAGTGTATTTTTGCAGATCATTGGTAGTAAACGCCGTGAATTCTACGTTCTTATCGCCAATGTACCGGCTGTTGAGCAGGATGTCGTTGAAAGGTTGATGATGCTAAATAATTTCAAAAGTGTTTTAATTAGTTTTAATTTCATCAAATCCAAATTAATTTTTAAAAACTAGCACATTTATGCTTAATGATGCTTTAAGTTTCCTAATATAAAAATCAGTCAACCTGGACTAAATTTCTTTATATATATATATATATATATATATATATATATATATATATATATATATATATATATATATATATATATATATATTCACTTTAAAAATTAATAATGATTATAATACCATGCAAATTTCGGTGCGATTAATGCCTTAAATCATACTCACTGTGACCGGCACATTCCTTTTTGAACATTTACGGTAGATAATTATAATTAGTAGTAGGAGAAAGATCACTGCCGCAGCTATAGAACCTCCCACTATCACAAATGTCATTTCTTGGTTCCTGCTAAAATGATTTTTTGTTTGAGTATGACAGTGAAATAATGTAAATAATTAGACATACTACATGTACTCGTCTAACTTATTGTATAAAGATACATGTATATGTATCTCTGAAAATCTACTTTAATATAAAGATTGGCTTATTAAACTTAAGAATATAAAAGTTGCTCTACCTCGATTCGTTCACTTACTGTATTGTTGAATTTGTGAGAGTTTGAACCGTCAAGTTTGTTTTTAAGCAAATAATACCAAGCTCTGCAGACCGGTCTATAGTGCAGACTGAGTTGTTACTGCAGTATCCGACGACCAACGCACAAGGGGACGTAATCTCTTGGTTATCTACAAGGTAGTAGTAATCTTTACTCATTTTCACAGAACGTTACTCTGTAATCATAGTTTAATCATTATTTGATTTAGAGTAATTTTGTATTAAAAGCATTTGTAAAATCATCTCAAGATTTATATTTTTCAAAAGAATGGAGTAAACCCTTACAAAACGTTTTCTTTGCGCAAAACTTTGATAGCTTCTTACAATCTAGTTTCCAATAACCAAATGTAATACAGTCTTTTAATAGATCTGTAGAAACAGTTTCGTTGATATGTCTTATGAGATGGAATTTGATATCGGTTTTCATCTTTTTTAAAAGCTTTGGCACGCTGTACATTAGGGTAACCAACACATGAATAGAATTGAATTCTCTGAAATGAAATAAAAATACAACTTTATCTTTTTTAACATAATTAGATTTTTGATTAATTACATCACAGAGATTTTGTACATTCAATAGAACATAATTATCAAATATTTCTAAATAGCTGAGTGTATGGTACATACGTTCTAGTCACTCTAAGTTCAAGATCAACAAGAATACCAGAGGGATTGTTGAAAATGGTGTACAGCTAAAAAAAAAGTTAAATCTAAAATAGAGAGAGAGAGAGAGAGAGAGAGAGAGAGAGAGAGAGAGATGCCAATGCCACCAAATTAATTCTAATTCATAGTATGCTCGGTTTCTCAATAATTTCAATCTAAGAATTATAACTGGCTTATATTCTATCATCCTACATATGGATATTATCTGCTGTGAATCTTACACATTTCTGCTCAACGTTTTGGAGAGATTTTAATTATATGCTAAATTAATGATTATCATACATATATTATACCTATATTTTCTCTGACCTTATCATGTAAGGACGAAAGCATGCTGCTGGGAATGGAATTACGAATATTTCTTTTTCTGTTCATGAATTCAAGGTTTACCGAGATATTATGCAAGATGTTTTCTGAAATATGAATCATTTAACATCTATCATGAACTTAATTCTTGAAGATCAGATAAAATGTACATTGTATTTATTGCTTGAAAGTGAGAGCATACTATTTAGTGTGCTATTGTGATTGATAACTAAAACAAGATTTTTTCCCTTTTCTTAATACCGATTGCTAGAACAATGTATCGATATGTATGTTTTATATCTATTTTAGATTAACAAAAATAATAATTACCTATACTACTTTTATTAATCTCATTACGATGATTTGATGAGTGTATACTTGCATCTGTTGTCACATTGTGCGTTTGTTCAAAGCGGCGAGATGATGATGATTTTGATAACTCTGTGGACAAAACTGATGACGTAGGAATGTTGAATGTAGACGGTAAAATCGTTGATATCAAATTTCTTCTCAGAGTCATGGTCGACTTAAAAAGAGGCTCTAATGTTGATGGTGTTTTTGTTGTTGTTGGCGGTGTCGATGATGATGATGATAAAAACGAAGATGATAACGATGATGGTCTCAGCATTGAAGGCCTGTCTTTGTATGACGTGTACTTTCGTGTTTGAGGTAATGAAGTCGATGATTTTGTAGAACTAAATTCTGTTAATATTTCATTTGTGAGAAGATTCGTATTTAAGCTGGCATTTTGTGTTAAATGTGACTGATCTTGTTTTTCTGTTGTGATACTGAACTCTGTCCTTTCTGAAAAAATATTTGAATTCAAATTCTGAGTCGACTTCACTGCAATTGCTGTTAATTCACGAGTTGGCAGAATCGTAATCGATGCAGTTTTTGTGCTTCCTTCTGTGGATTCAGTGTTTGTTACCATAGGTTTTGTAGAATAGCTCTTTTCTTGTGTTGAAGTAAAATCATACTTGGTTGTCGATGTCTCAGCTATTACTGCTTCTGATGATAAAGAAAAGACTAGTCCATACAAAGATATTTACAGAAAAAAAGTAAAGTAAAGTTGTTCCAAATAAGTTTCTTTTACTTTTATTACTTACGAGTTTTTTTAACTTTGATCCGAAATCCATGTCCCTGGTTTTTGAAATCAGACACAAATCTAATATTTACATAATTGTTCCGTGTAGTCACTTTCATTGGTCTATCAGTAACTCCACATTTTCTATAAGATTCCCCAAGAGAAACAGCCAGATAGTCACTACTACACGATAAGCTGTTCTCTATATCCATGTCCACTATTATTATCGTCATGTTTTCTGTTTTGGGGTTCACTATTTCCCAGGAACAGCTAAGACCGGGAGGGTAGAAATCAGGGTATCCAGGGGACACTATTTCTACTTCTGACTTTGATAATTTGACCTTCCTGTGACATGCTTAAAACACAAATCACCAAATTGCTAGGCATAAACTACAGCACTAAAAATTATACATGTATTTTTAAAAGCTTAAGAATGTTATTGACACAAAATGCAACAAAAATTCTTTAGCAGCTAAGAAATATGAATTAAAAATTACTTACAGGCCCTAAAATATAATTCCTTGCTTTCTTCTCCTTTTGTTTTACTTATGTTGGCAAATACAGAAATCATGAGAAGTTGTCCTTTGAAATTTCGGGTATCAATGCTAAACCATGTAGTTCTGGGAGAGAGCACGATTTCTCTCTGGTAATTTGTTAGACGATATTTCAGGGTGTATGAGGTCAAAGGTATGTAATGTCCAACTGGTGGTAACCATTTGATAAACACGCCGGTTTTGGATGACGTCATTGTAATATTAACTGGTGGTCCAGGTGCTTTAACTAAATGATATCATTATGATTCTCTAGAATGACATATTAATGATATTATTTATCAAATATTTGGCGAATGCTGGTTGTATTGAATCGACCGTACAAAATCACAATGGCTTCAACTTAAAATATGAAAACAGCTTAGAGATTTTCATAAAAATTTCACTAGAAAACTTTGTGAAAGATAATAATCTTACCTTTTGCTGTAACCAATATTTGAAATCCTGTGATATTGATTCTCTTCATTCCACTAGAAAATAAAACTGTTTCCATTGAACTGCCATTTAAGTCAGAACTGTTTCTGCAAATTTTATGCAAACTGTCCCCTACTGATATAAACGCGTCAGTACAAGGCGGATGCTTTGTTGAATTATTGTTTTCTCCAAGATCGATTTGGAGAAAATGAAAATGCAATATATGTGTTTCTTCTGTTTTGATATCCCATTGACAGTGCACTCCCCTTTTTACTAGACTTGGGAAACCTGGAGAAGAAATTGTCTTCCTAGATCCTGGCACCATGGTGATTTTCCTTCCACAGGCTAAAAAAAATCCAATTTTTTTTTATCTCTTAACGTTAACGCAAAGGGGGTAACAGAAGTATTTTTTTTTTGTAAATTTTGTCCTATTTATTGCAATATATATAAAGTAGAATAAATAGAGTCTTTTACTAACGTTTTCGTATATAAAATGGTCTGGAAGGTTTGCTTAGGCCATTCTTGTTCTCAGCTGTCACTGTGATAAGGAACATTCTTCCAGCCTGCAAAGATGCATCTGTAAAGGAATTAAAAGGATGTACGTACTTAGAATTATACCGGTATAATTCAGATATGTAGTTTAAATATCGTTCCACACTCACCTATGATTGCCATAGGTATATTTGATCTGTATGTAGTGTGGCTCTCTTCCGGTAAAATGGTCGCCAGTAGCACGTAATTGGTGATGTTTCCGTAGGTTTGTGAAGGAACTTCCCAAGTAACAATAAAAGAATTGTCTCTATTCACAACATGGACGTTTTGGGGCTGAGAAGGTGGAGAACAATCTGTCATAAACAATGAAGAATTTTGATATTTTAATAACTTCAAAAGGCATATGATATTCTAGGTATAGCACTATCATTCTAAATAATCTTTTAATCGGAATTTCTTTCAAAAAATCATTTCTTTCTCTATATTCATTTTTTGTGTTAGTAATTTTCAAATAAACAGTGTAACAAGCAAACATTGCAGAAATATGTTGATTTATGTGCGTTCTAGCATGTGCTGTCACTGCATCTTGTATATTCTACATAATGATCATGAAGATAAGAGACTTCCGGCTTGCCTTGTCAATATGCATTATAATGTTTTGCTATCTAATATATATAAACATATATATATATATATATATATATATATATATATATATATATATATATATATATATATATATATATATATATATATATATATACCGGTATATATAAACGACAGATTTTTTCATAAAAAAAAATATTTCATTTGAAAATCCCGCATTTTTCAATGCAAAAATGAACCATAGTTTTTTCAGTTTAAATTCTTCAAAATCGTTTTTATCGAAGGGTACCTCTACAAAATCACTTTGTTTGTGTGTTTAATAGTTAAACGAACGATTCAGCAAATTTTGACAGCTAGGCTAAGCTTAAATATTTTGAAATAGGGGATTTTATTGTAAGTTGGTTGAATTTTTTTGTACTCCTCATCAGCCAAAGAGGGGTAACTTTAGGAACTTCCTGTCCAAATTCGACTCTAACGATGTACATACACATAGTAGATATTGTCATGTATAAGATATACAAAAATAGCGAAAATTAAACGACAGGAAATTTTTGGGGTAGGTGTGTTGTACATCCTTAACAAGATATTGAACACAAATCGTTGGATATTTGGTTATCAATCCTTTTTTCATTTCGACACCGTGATACACATGAAAATAGACTTGAACCACAGGTCAATTCAAACAATTTTGCAGAAAAAAAGAAAGAAGTGGGAGCTAGGTTGTCCCTCAGTTTTCCTGAATAAAAAAAAAAGATGTTTTGTATGAGAGTCTCTGACATTTCCTCAGTGCGCCTTGGGATTCAGTGACAATATATCCTTTTGTAGATAGGAAAACTCCACTTATTGTTGATTAAGATACTAATTAGTCTTTTAAGAATTGTTATTCATAAAAATGAATTTTCAAATAATACTTTAGAACAGCTCAATGTAAAATCATCATTGTTTTTTGTAGACCAATGTTCTTGGATTTAGTGGGCTACCCTTACACACGAATTAACACCCCACTAAACAAAAATGTTGTCCATATTTCAGTTTATACGTGTTATCCAGGAAACAACGTTCCCAAGAACCATTAAAATTTCCATTGCCGACAAACATTGAACCCCCCCCCCCCCGCCTCAAATGAAATGATGCCACAGCATGCACTAGATGGAGTTAGTAACTTAGTGGCAAAAGGGGTATTACTTCCTGATCAATTTTATTAGAGAAAGTAGAACCATTTTAATTTGTGGGGGTAAGTGCTAAAAGTTTACTAGTTTACTAGTTTGTGTGGACGTAATAATGTAAATTAGTCGTAAATACAGAACAGAAAACTCGTAGAAACCAATACAATGATAAAAATGTTGTCCTTAGGGTGATCACCACGAGATCCAAGAACATAAGTCTATACGAACATTGACGATTCCACAATATTATACAGAATTTCATACTGTAAAATTGATTGCATATAGACTTACCTGCAAATTCAATAAATTTAATGGCAAAGAAAATGATGAGCCAGCTCATTTTCTCGACATTTAAATATCATTCTCATGCAATAAATTCATAAAAGATGATTGTTCCAAGATTCTCCCCTTTGATATTTTAATGACCTGCCAAGCATTGTGTCAAAAGGAAATAAAACCATAAGTTTCTTACACCCTCTGCACTGTCAGGACATTGTCCTACTATCCTATATGTCGTAACATCGAGCAGGTGCACGTTATCCGGAAATGATAAGTGCAAGATAATACGATCTTGTATACATCCATCTCAACGAGATTTTCCGAATGGTCAAAGTGATGTTATCATTGACAAACAATTCCCCGGCTGACCATCCTTCCACAATGGTCAGATTTATTGTTTCCTTTTATAGAAGAGTTCACACAGGTATGTTATGCTTTGGTACTATTACACAATAGTTTGCTTCTCTTTACTGATAAATGTTCTAGATATCACAGAGCTCACTTGCTTTATTTGATATAAATTACTGATATTGGAAGACAAAAATGCATGTTCACTGATATAACATTCGATGGGCATTAATAGTTTCTTAATTTCAGCGCAGTTGCAAAGACCACTGAATTCGATGTTGCAAGATCCGTTATTATACATTGTATATAAACAAAATGGCCTTATACTAAATAGTATCTACATGTTCTTAATTATAATGTTCACGCTTAGTAAAATAGTTCTCTAAGAAAACAGAGATTTCTGTGAAATAAACAAAATTGCTTATTCATATACAATAATCATTTAAAAAGCTATTTTTTCAGTCAAATTATTAAAATAATCAGGAAAAATTATTAGAAATGACGTCCACTACTTTTGTTAATAAAAGTTAAGACTGTATTGCATAGGCGTCGGAAGCAAATTGAAAAAAAGGGGGGGGGCTAAACCAACGAAAAAAGGTAAGCCCCAATTTTCAATGCCTATATTATGTGTATCTTTGCAAAAAAAAGGAGGGGGTAAGCCCCCCTAGCCCCCCCCCCCCCCCGTTCCGACGCCTATGTATTGATTCCTGAAATGCTTACTCTAACACATATTGTACATACTTATTTTGTCTTTTTACTAATTGTTCATATCTGCTGTTGTGTGTTAAAAGATACATGTAAATCAATGTCACTGTTATGATGTAGAGTAGAATCTCTCGTAGTTTTTCTGTCTTCACCCGTTTGTAACACAATGTCAGTTGTGAGATTCTCACAGTTTATCAATGCAGTGGAGACACTGGCTGCACTGTTTGTGACGTCATTATTGTTCTGAGTTTCATTATTGTTTGCTGAACTTGAGTCCATAGCAGAACTTTCGCTGGAGATGGAAAATACTGCCGAACCAGTTCCCTCCGATAAATTATTCACTGCTCGCCTGTCTTGCTCCATTTTCATTGCTGAGTCATAAGAAGGGAGATAATTTACATTTGTCTTTGAATATTTCCCAGGATATGGTGGTGGTGGGTCATCGTATCCAAAGCAGGAAATGGAGGATATAGTTCGATCTGCAATACGGACAAAATTTTTTGATTGCATTAAAGCTATTTGCAAAAACACTTTTTTTATTCTCTGTTCTATTCTGCATATGAAAATTCATGTTTTGTGATCCACGGTTTTCTTTTCTATAATATAAAGCAAGATATGATGTGCGTTTGATGTTTAAACATTTAACAAAAAGAAATTTGATAAATCTTTGAAATTTGCAATGTAAGCCACAGACTTACGAAGTCTTTCAATTCTTGTGCCCTCCATTTCTGACCTTTCACCCGAGAGTTTATTGATAAGCACCCTGAGGAAGATTACTATCACAATCGCTGCCATACCGCCCAGGACGGAAAGAATCACTGGATCCTCCAGTACATCCGTCTGGTATCCTAGCAACGGGTCAAACAATACTTATATTGACCATGTGCATATCTGGGTTGACTATCATGTTGTTAATTTTGAAATTACTGAAAAGAGGTAAATGCAAAATTATCATGCTTTAAGTTTAATTTTCATTTAACTCCACCCAGTAATTTCAAATTTTGAGGTATGATATAACTAATACTTATAGACATCAGGCTAGAAATAGGCTGCTCATCCCTAAAACCATATTCATCGAAATCGCATCCTATGAATTAGTCAGTAATAAATGCTGTATGGGTAAAGCAATTTTTAAAGAAAACTAATTATATACAGACATGTATATACATTAATCATGAAGTGGATTTTTTTATATAAAACAAGCCATATTTAATTTCTTCGCTAAATATTACTACAGAGATACTTACGGTACTTATTGGGATTAACAGTTGTAATATGACTGGGCACAAGAACCACAGTTGTATCATCTAGGCATAAATAAATAAATGAATAAGTTAAAATATTTGAAGGTTATTGGACCCTAATATCCATTTGAAATACCAAAAATGCCATCGATTCAATTATTACATGTCTTGTCACTTACCTGTGCTATTATTTGCCATCTTTAATAATTCATGCACTTACACTGGAATATTTAAAGTGTAAATTTTAAATTCAAGGACAAAGATATCCAAAACAGGAAATGGACTAATATAGAAAAGGATTTGGAAGGTATATACATTTGTAACATATTGAAGCTGTGAATTTGTTTACTGTGCAATACAAAAAATAAGAAATTAATTATAAAGCGGTTTCAATCTGAGAATTAAGTATACCATTTCCAAGATGTTTTTCAATGTAAAACTTCTTGGCCCCTTTTTTAATTCCCTTTATGTTTTGAAGAAAATGGTTCAGTAATCCTTATGATGTAATATATATATATATATATATATATATATATATATATATATATATATATATATATATATATATATATATATATATATATATATATATATTATAAAAAGTCATGAAATTATTTACTCTGATTCAAAACATATATACCGGGTATGTTGATAATAAACTGAAATTGAAAAGTAATGCAAGGTCTCGTAACTATATAGACACAGTATATAATACATCTTACCTTGTTCTATTGCTTAATATAGACACCTCTTTTTTACCATGATGCAAATATAGACTGCAACAGCCGTCAATAGAATTTCACCAAATCACTAAGTTTAGATTTCTAAATATAGGGAGAATTTTAAATTCATCATCATAAAATGTTTCTGGCTACCACCCCTTCACTAGGGAAATCCTCAACACGTTTCCCTAATAGAAAGAACTTCACTTTTCTGTTAAATTTCTCCCAAACAATATGATATATTATGAAGAATATACACCCTAATGCTGCATTCCAGCATAGAACAAGTTTTGTTTTCGTCTGTGGCCAAGTACGTGTGACCAATGTTCCGCTCCAGTGCCAACCACAGAAGATTTAGTCAACAATTTCAATCATTGCATATGTACGTGTGAATTATGCAATTCGTACTCCGTGTAGAAAGGACAACAACTGAAAAGTGGCCTGCTCAACTCAATACAATGCACATTGTTTAAATGTGTTCAAAACTTCGTCCTCAAATTAAGGTCTACTATTCTTAGGGTTACCATGTTTCTGCATATAAATTACATTGAATTAAAAATAAAACAGTTTAGAAGATATGTTTACCGTTTATATATTCTTTCTAAGATGTCGTTGAATACATGTATTTACCTTCACCAGAAATCACAGAATCTAAGGCCATCATAAAAAAAATCTTTGTTTCCCCTAACCCGACCCTAAAATCTCAAGTTGGGTAGGTAGGTAGGTAAATATTTTTTTTTCTGACATCAGCTTTGAAAATACATTCTGAAATTTAATGGAATAATACCTTTGTAAATAAGAAAAGTACAAAAGAAAGCGATTTGTAAACAGAATATCATACAAATGCCGCTTAAAAGCAAAATTTAAGGTAGATTAATTCACAACTATCATTCAATTGAATTTGTGAAATATCTCACAGTGTGCAGTGTAAATTTAATGAAATTTAATATTTAAAAAGACAAGATTCTCTGATATGCAAAGATCGGACAACCTAGTATATTTTTCAAACCTAATATCAGCTTCCAGTGCTTAAACATGCAATGTACTTTTTCAAGGGCCTTGAATTGTGCAGTGGTTCTAGAGCATTTCGTTTTGGAGTCTCGAAGTAAGGAGCTGGTTCAAATCCCAATGCGGGACGTTGAGACCAGTCCTTCAAATGAGACTGTAAAAACTTAGGTCCAGTGTCGCAGTAGATGCTGACACGAAAAAGGTCCCTCACTGCTCAATGGCCAAAATTGCCGAGTACAAGTCTAAATTTGAGCTCTTCACCGGGCAAATGTTGTCATCCTAACAATTCTCAAAGGAATTTAAAGCAAAGAAACAGCCAATCTTCAATGGCCTAATTAAAGAAAAATACTCTCAGGAAGCTGTATCATGATTTCAAAAATAGTTAGAAAGAGTATGTAAACAACATTTAATTGAACCAAACCATATCAAAAAAATTATAAAAATGTATACACAATGTCATAGTGACGCAGTTTAACCCAAGAATAAAAGGCATGAAGAAAGGACGTCTGAATTCTATTCATCAGGATGAAATATGCATATGCAGACTTCTGTGGTCCCATATAGTAAACACAGAAACATAGATGAACTGTTTATTAGATCAAAGCTCAAATTAAATAAAATACAGTGAAATTGAATGATGTGTTCATAAGGTGGGCTCCTCGTCTGCTCATGAGGCGGGCCTTACCATGCTTACTACGTAAATTAATTTTAAAAGACATGTTTGTAAATACCACCGAAACACTCTTTATTAGTCATGGTATATTTTATTAACGAAGTGTTTCAAGAGTGTAGGATTCTAATAAGCTAAGGGCAGAAGGTTGATATGTCTCCGTTGTTTTATAATAACATGAACTAAGTCACTAACCCTCTGTGACCACATGTTGTGGGTACCATTTTGTTTCCAACAAATGCTTGAAAATCACAGTAGAACAAAATCTGCCGTTCTGATAAAAACATATTTTGATGAAATTGTATTTCATAAAAGTTGATAAACATAAAAAAGAAATATTTGAATAGTTTTAAAAAAAAAAAAAAACACTTTTCAGTCGAAGCTATTTAATTTAAATGGGTCGGTCGTGTTAGGGGAAACAAAGGTATTTTTTTTATTTTGGTCTTAGATGAAAATCATGTTTAAATTTTTATTTTCAAGTGTATCGTGAATTAAGATTTTACAAGATGCAGATTTCCATTACATTTTGGAAAGTAATAAATATCTAACACTGCATTAAGAGGTATAAAGAAGAATGATTTAAGAAACATCACATCACCGCTGTTTGCATCTTTCGTTGAATTTGCATTTCAAATATCTACAAAAATGTACATGTAAATATGATAGTATAAGTTAAAAAAAGTGAACAAAGCGCTATGCATTTCATTTTATTTATTCTGTACCTTGATGTTTCCCAATTCAATACCGTATGTAATGCAAGTACTTAATCCAAAAGCATTTAGATTTAAATATGGGGAGGTCCACATTATTTTAACTGTTATTGTAAGAGTTGGATTGTATTACACATGTAATTATATATTCTCTTCATCACTGGACCTTCTGGGATTTAAAGTTATTCCATCAACACATATAGATGTCTGACGTGGGGAACGTTCAGTTTCTTCACTAAACACCTGTTGATCATCTGTTCTAGGTTCACACTCTCGATTTGTCAAAAGTTCATGGCACACTTGGTTAGAGACCGAATCATTTTCTGTCTCTTCATTGTTCATATGATCGCTATGGTCTAAACCAACACTCTCATCCAAGACAGAAAATTCCGATTGTGGAGTCATTTCATTGATACTGCACATCCGCAACTCGGGTGCCATTTTGATTGCGGAGTCATAAGAGGGGAGATAATTGATGTTGGTTTTGGAATATTTTCCTGGATAAGGTGGAGGGTCATCGGAAAATGGAGTCGGTGATGGTGATACTGCTGGTTCGCTTTCGTGATCTGTACAATAATACTGAACACTTAGAACTCTTAATAAACAAGATACTTTTGACGAGGGTAGGATAATCTAAGAAATGCATCTATTCTTTATCATTCAACGATGGCTTGAAAATAATGTTTTAAAATTCTCCATCTAATCATCTGCTTCATGTTTCTATGTTGTCTAGGATCTAAGCTCTTTATGTTTAGTCCACTATATAGACAACCACTTCTGCATGTTAGTAGAATGACTTTATCTCATTGAAACATTCTCTTATCTTATTGATACAATGCCAATGGTCCTCAATGCTATATTATTTATTTAAGTTTTTTTTTATTCTAATCTCATGTTTGTAGTCTCTATGATTTGTTGTGTCTAATTTTTTACCCAGTAAACTGGTTCTCTTACCTCCCCTCCTGGTTTGTCTATGGTGTCTGTACTGCCGATTTTTAATTCTACTAATAATTTCCCTCCCTAGAAACAAAATTCCAATGAAAAGGATCACCCCGGTAATAGCCATAAACACTGGGTCCTCCATTATAAAGACCTTTTGTTCTGAATTCAAAAAACGCCCTAGTTTGTATCTTTTTCAAGCATTCGAAGATGGAGATGGATGAGTTACATTCAAGAATACATAGATTTTTATAAACAATGTGAGCGACATGGTTAAAGTGAAGATAAATATAACAAAGCTAATTTTTTCCATTTTACTGAGAAGATGAGCATACAGAGAGGGTCTTGACAAAGTCTAATACTTAATAGGGTGATAATGATGGTGTCAGTGTTTTGAGACCCTTTATCTATCCTGCTATTTCCAAATTTATGATATTATTTCCCTACCTTTTATGTTCGTTATGATAATATGACCCACTCCATTGGTTGGCAAGGAAGCCTGGGGGTCTTCTTCTACAAAAAAAAAACGAATTAAGATTTTTTTTTTTTTTACTATAATATTCTACTTTCCGTGCAAAATCTGAATCATTGTGCATTATTGATGTTTTAAGGAGCCATTTCATTCAGCACTCGATGCTTTTGTTTCCCTACACTATCCATACCTGTACCATTTGTATCCATCTGTATTCTACATCAGCTGCCAAAAAGAAAATAAGACTTTTAAAGATGAAAATCGAATTCCCATATTTTTAAATTAAATTTGCACATGTTAACAGAATAGCTACATATTATCATATGGTCAATCGTTAGTTATACATGTACGTTGTGGAATTAAACCTTTCAAAAACAGTTTTTGACCATTCATCCCTGTTTGTGTTGATTTTTATTCACATTACCCCGATATATATTTGAATGCAGCTGTAAAAGCGTATTTATGATTCAAGAGATTCAGTCTGTTAATATATGCTCTTTAAAACTTGCCTTACTCTGTACCTTTATTTTCTTCTCAGAGACATAACTGGCCAGAACTGTCCGTATATATATTATTTTAAATCTTGTTTTTAAAGTTTGTCTTTACAACTACTCTCCTTAACAAAGAAAGCCCACTTACCGTCATAAAATCTGCATATCGCGTCCATAAATATGTTGTCACGAGACAAAATTCAATTGGGTATTGTAAATTCGTTGTTGACATTCTTCTGTACTTACAGTACTAAAAGTACTAACTTTTGTCAATCTTACTAAAAAAATCACTCTATAATCAATCGTATAGTCCTGTATTTCAATGTCACGATCCGTTGAGCACTGAAACGTGTATTTTGATAGTTGTTTATAATTCGTTATCTCTGTTCCACACCGCTTTTCACTTCACTTTTAAAACACTTATAACATACTTGTTATACTCGTAAATTACGCAATCACGACAAATGTTCAGTTCTATGTAAAATAGTTGCTTATAACTTCTTCTTTCTTCAACAATAAACATAGATCCACATTGTCTGTTTATTTGAACTTACTTGAAGTGTCGTGACAAAAAAACTAGGTTACTTTGTCATTCGACGTAAAATTGATAGTCGAGTGTACGTTGTAGAGTTCTGTGCAACACTTTCATTAAATTTTCATTGCTGAAGTATCCTTTATCTTAAAAGTAAATTTCGTAAATACCATTATCTCATTTTGTTCGTGTCATAAGCAAATTGTAAAATTTTATAATTCTACATTGTTCTAAAAACTATTTGTGTCAAGATATCAATGGAGTAAATTTTATCTGTTTATAATTTGCAAAAATCCAAAAACAGTAACAGTTCTCTAAATATCCTCTAAATGTTAATGTAGACTTGGGTATTGTAGCTCGATCTACTAAAAAAATATACCTTCCTCAGCTGCCAAGGAAATTATTAAAGTGTTTTGTTTTCGTTTCCTTTTTATTCTTTACTATACGCATTTATTCATTTATCCATGAATGTCGTGCGTTTTGTCCTTGCACTCGCACCAGTAAACTGATCTTTGATTTTTTGTTCGAGTTTGACCGCTTTAATGACAATGGCTTAGAAGTATTTTCAGTTTCTGTGCATTTATTAATCTTAACAATCGAAGACGTCTTTGTCAGCAAATGTCTGTAATCAGTGCGTAGGAAATTGTTGCTCTGCTAAATATATAATCAACTGTAACACTGAGTAGACTTTGATTTCCTATATACATGTACATACGTATGTTTAACCTCATTTACACAGAGGTTGGCGACCGTTGAGATTTGGATAAATGCCTAAATGACTTTCAACAGATACTCGGCCATCGCCATGATCGCAGGGTCTACATTGTGTCTTCAAAGTTTTGACCATACCCAAACCAGTCTCTCAAGATAACAAAAGGCGCCTTTACATATGTATAGATTGTTGAAAAACATTTGTTCGATGTTGTTCGATTTCTTTGCGATCTCTGGAAGCCTTGAAAAGCTCGCCTCTGTGTAAAATCAAAATTGAAAGAGATCAGAAGAGAAAAAACTTGTATTATAAAATTGGGGATACTGTCATATTTCATAGTGATCTGTCCAGATCAATTTGCGGTCAAGGAACGTGCACTAAAAGATCTCTCAGAGACTAATGGTTACATTGCTTTCTGTTAGCATCCTTTGAGTTTGCTAAAAGTCTGCTTTGCGACCAATCGAGACCACTGAGAGATCTTAGAAGATGACCGAGAATTCAATTGTGACCAAGAGATATCATTGAAAGACCAAAAGAGATTTTTGATAAATAAACCTCGAGAGATCATTAGGAGATCTTTGAGCTATCTTTCTGCACTCTTTGAGAGACAGATTACCAATGACAACGTTGCTAGATTGTTTTGAGGAGAGTCAAAATTTTGAAGAGCTCTGAGAAATCCCAAGAGATTGTGGTAATAACTGGGTGACTGTTAATATATTGTTCAGACATCTACATGTAGCCAATTCTGCCTCCACGGTCGCTATCTCTGTGTAAGTGGGATTTAAGGGAATCAGTCTATCAAAGAATGCCTAAAAAGCGCAGAAAATCGCCCAAATATCTTTTCTTTACCTCCCAAAGATCTTTTTAGGACTTTCAAAGAAATGAATGTTTTGAGCGACTAAGATCTCTTAGTGATATCTTTCAGTCATGCACTGTTCTCACACATAATCTTTCAGTAAACTGCAGTGTATCAATCTCATTGATACTCTCGTGTGCTAACGCTCAGTAAACTCTCAGAGGATCCTAGAGAAAGCAAGGTTTTCATTTATATTTGAGGGATTATTCAGTTTGTTCAGTGTGATCTCCTTATTGGATTTACACTAGTGTATACAGAGACTTTTCGAGGCTTTGAGAGATCACGAAGAGATCAAACAAAATGTAAATTGCCAAATTGCATCTATTCTTTATAACATACATGTACTTCATCAATTTTAGATTTTTATTTTTATCCAACATGAGACACATGATCAATATAAAAATGTGACTGGGAAAATATGCTTTTGTTTGTCCGTCTTTATCAAACGAATTTTATAATTGGTATTCGTTACAAATTTTTCGTGATATATAATTTATTATTATACTAGTATACTGAATAACCTAAAGCTCCTCATATATTCAATGCGTATGTATAATTTTTTATACATTTTTAACTCGTATCACGTCAGATCTTTATATTATATATTTTTTATGCAAATTATTCATTTGATTCTTAAAGGAAGTTAAATGTACATTTTTTAATTATTTAAAAAAAATTAACTTAAGTTTGAGTTTATAAAAAATGCAAATTTGATTTGGCTTTTGTTCCTGTTTGATGAAGGATGGAGCATTAATATGCATGGTAAGAACCGGTGGCTTAGTAATGTAATGCCAACGCTCAATTAGCATTATTCCATTGAGATGGTTACTCAAGTTTTTTTCAAATTCATAGCTAGAGACTTAAGATTTATAAAATGAATTGTCATTGTTTTGTATATACCGTATGTACGATTGTAGTGTTCATACCCTAAGATAAGATAAATTGATATTTTTTTTTAATTTATCCTTTTTGTCTTTTATATTAACACCATGTTATTAACTCTTGCCTATAACATTACCTTTAAAAAAACGAATTGTATTTTAAAAAATCGTTTTTGTATTGATCATTGAATTTTTTTAAAGAATCAAAATTGCACTTGAAAATGCGGAAAAGGTGGAAATATTTCAAAACCTTCTTATTTAGGAAAGGAATATGTAGGAGAAAATTCATTTGGTATCCCATACCTTCTTTAAGATAACAGATAAGCCATTATACGTATCATTTTTCGGAATTATACAGGCGCTTGAGTTCTCTTTCAAGAATGCCCCGAACTTGTATGATAACACACCTGACAACACACCTGGTACATGACTTAATGTAAATTTTGTTTAATGTCGTCGAGGGTACAAATTCACCAAAAACACAAATCTGAAGGGGGGTTGTTTGTTTGTTTTTCAAATGTCTAACTAGTATTTACTTTGAGCTATCAAAGAAGACTTTGAGTTATATAAAGTAGACTTTGAATTATAAAGAAGACTTTTTAAAATACTTTTGATGGAACACAATAATAAATGGTCGAGTAACATAGGAGTAATGAATTATAACATTTTTTAAAAAATAAAATGGAAGACTGCATCTTATATGAATAACTTTATCTTTATTAAAAGATTTTAGTGATGCGATTTTTGTATTAAATAATTTCCTCGACTTAGAAATGTCGATTTATTTCTTTTAGGACTTAGTCTTTGAAATAAAACCAAAATTATGATTTAGAAACCATTATGGCTGAGATATTGTCACAATTTTCAGCTACTTTCAATTTGTTTAGAGCACTCTGTATTTATTATAAATTAACAGCTAGAAGTCTAAACTAAGTGCGTGTAAAACAAACAATTTAATTTTGCTTTTGTCTTTTATTAAATAAGTAAACAAATTGATCACAATAAAATGTATTCATACACAAGCATTTGATGTTATTGACAGTATAACAACAAATTCATGTTCATGTATATAAATTAATACATGAGTAATCTCTCTTAATAAGAATACCCACATCAGTCACAGTAACGCATATGGCACTTTTCGTGACTTCATTCATAATGTATAAAACAGAACTTCAAATAATCAAGATAAAAGGCTTGATATATCTATTTTATGTAAAAATAATGTATTTGGAATATACATGACATTGACAAAACAAGCATAGTTTAGAAGGTGTGTACATTATAACACTGGGCATTAAAATTTACCTTCAACAAAACATGAAATGTTTCCCTATCACCCAGTGTCATTACAGCCGAGACTGATTATTAGGAACGTCTAAATCGTTCACAATCTCTCCCACATTATCTGCTTCAGAGTTTAGTGATAGGCTTCCAGTAGCCCCTTGTAAATCACTTTCTACAGTCATACCTTCTCCTCTTTCAATATCTATAGAAGTATCTGTTGGTGGGTGTACAGTGCTCACCTGTCTATCAATGTCGTAATTCACAAAGTTTTCTTGAGATGTTTCTAAGTCTCCACCCACCATGAACACTACTACATCATTACCGCTTTCACTTGTTACTTCTGATGTAAGCGCCTTTTGGTCAACTTCCTCCTCCTTGGCCCTTGCCACTTCCGCTGCGTCACGGACCCACTGCAGACGTCGATTAATTTCAATTGCCGATTCGTAAGAAGGAAGATAATTCACATTTGTCCGGGAATATTTACCAGGGTAGGGAGGAGGTTCGTCAGCAAGCCAGTGGAGAAAAGAAGGACCGGGTCGAATACCACCTAATAAAAGAAAAGTCATGTTGCAATATTTCTTTCAAAATTTTATATGGGTTATTTTTTATAAAAAAAGATTCTATTTGATCTCAGAAACCAAGATTTACATAATCTGCAAAAATATCAAAAGTCAAGAAGCTGCAACATGAATCTTAGGGATTTTAATCTTCAATATTTTCAGAAATGGAAACACGTTAGCAGCAATAATTTTTGATAAGGGTTTTCCATACAATCATTTCCTGATTTTCATAAAAGGTTGATAATTTGAAAGTTTAAATTAGAATTTGACCATCTGTTGTCTAGTTATTTTTTTTAATCGAATGATAACAGATTCAGTAGATAATTCACATTTGAAAAAGCAAAACGAAAAGTTAACTAGAATTATATTATATTCTTAAGCTATCCGTCTTTGAAAAGTGGTACACAGTACTTCATTCATTACACATTCTACAACGTACAATATGTAAGAAATAAGATTGCGTATATTTACAAATCCCATATACTGTTTCTGCTTGAATATTTTTCTAAATCAATATACACGTAAAAACAATAAAGGTATATACGTAAAGCAGGCATAACATTTTAATCCTTGGATGTTATACTAGACTTCAGTACTTCCGATACCTATGGACCTTTACGGAAAAAACAAAAATTTTCCAATTCTACAAAAAGATATAGAAGATTGCAAAAAAAGGTCATTTTCTATAATATTAGAATAAATTGCAAATAAGTTTTTGAGAGAAAAAGTTAAAAGATTTGTATAAAAAAAGGGGGGATTAGAGACTTGTCAATTGTTTATCTGAGGCATAAGATCCTTTTTGAAAAGGTAGGACTACTGGTTTAACATTGTCATACGTACTACATGTGTTGTTATTGGGTCGTCGAGGAGTCCTTATAAAGGATATGATGGATTTAACAGTAAATATCATCCCTATGAATACAATAACGCTGGATACCACGGCAACCAGATGGACAGTCCCTTCTTCGTCATATCCTGTAAGGGGACACAACTTTCACTGTAATCCTACGTATTAATACAAGATTTTAGAACAATTAATTATGTGAAGAAACATCATACGTGTACCTTCACACATTGATTGAGTATATGAAATACGTAGTCGTGTATATATAAACTTCTTTGACCTTCAATCCTGTTATCAATAAATTATTTCATTTTTCAAAGTTAATTTACTTTGCTTTGGTGTATCATAAAAGTCGTGGTGGACTGATGGAAGTGTGGTTGTTGTTTTCTCAAGTAATGTCGATGAGTCACCTGAAAGCAATATTGAGTGCTGACCATGCATAAATATTTCTTGTGGAAATTTGAAGTAAGTGAATATTTACTTGTAATCACATGAATTCAAAGATCGCTCACAACTAATGCTCTCATGATCAATTTTATTAAGCCAGTTGGCAAGATAAGAGATAACCAATTAATGACTTGCATTGTCCTTCTACCAAAAATGTTGAAAATAGTCTCTAGATTTTTTGACAATTAAAACTTTGTCAGAAGAACAAGATCTAAGAAACGAGAAATATAGCAAAGTCTTGGGATATGTTTGCACTTATGAAAGAAGAAAAAATAATTATTTCTGCAGTTCGATATAAAAAAAATTATTGTCTATATGGTAAATAGCTTCCCCTGTGATCTACTTACCAGCCAATAGAATTGAAGTGCTGCTGTTCTCATCAGCTACACCTGTAACATTGTCGTGCATTGTTGGACAATACCATAATGAAAACAATGCTTAAGTGTCCGTAGAAGTAAAGTTAGAACCATTCAGGTATTTCCAGTATGTTCTAGATATGTCTACGTGTTGTCTGTATATATTTAAACACATAAACAAATAATCTATTTATACTTCAAGGTTCCGCAGGTAAACATTGCGAGCTGAACGCATTCTTACGTTGCGTAGCACTATATGTATCAATTAAAATCTAAATAATTATGTTTATGCTACAGTGCGATATTGAACAGTTTCTTAGTACAAACAGGTTTTTGCTCAGTATATTGATGGTTTTTTAGGTGATCCTCTAAAAACTAAAGAAGCGACAAAAATATTAACATCGACGTGTGTCTTCGTAATTCTTTTTTTCAACAAGTATTATTTTTCACAGGACTCCTCGTGACAAGGGATCAGATTATACCAAAATCCTATACCAATTATGATGTTTTCATCATATTTGTTTTATCGTCTACACATCTCGGTTAATCAATTGTCCTTGATTCAGGTGCTTAGCCACATAGAAACCCTTCCGTCAAGTATGATAAGAATGGGGTTTTTTTTAAAATTAATTTTGGCCCTGAAAAAAATGATGGCAGACACTGACCTTTTCAAAATGGTCTTGGGTCATGACATTTGTGATGGCCATTCCCGGTCATACAATAATGATTTACACAATAATGCAATTCCAAGTTGTTTCTATGTTTAGCGTCCGCGTGCGCCTTGTTTTTTGACACCCCATACCACAAAAAACAAACAAAATCATGACTCCTCAAATTGAATATTCTGGTCAAAATCACTGAATTCAGTCAATTTCTCAAAATATTTGAATACAATGTCATATTAGGAATATTGTAAGCATTGAATACCTTGATTTTGCTGAAGAAAAGGTTTTTAATAGATAAAATAGATTTATGAAATCAAATCCTTTGAGTGACGTCATTTTTATGACCATAAAGTCTGTGTTTTATTTTTTGGTTTTTATGTTTTTTGCGAATAGGTAGGTAGGTTTTTGAAAGATGGGTGGATGCTAAACAGAGAAAAAACTTGGAATGGCCTAATGGCTTGTACTCCAGGGTTCTCACAATAGCTATTACCCTTTCACTAAACAATGGAAGAAACATTTTTTGAATCAGAGTGAACAAAAGCAGCAATTTTTAAGATGTCATTTACTTGTATCTTTTCCCATAGTCCTTAATACAGAAATGAGTAGTCACTATGTTATACGTGTGACTTTTTGTTAAATTCATATAATGAATATGGAGCTAACGAACAGTATTCAAGCTCATAGTCCACTTAAACAATACAAATCGGGAGCAGAGCAAACACGTACCACCAAAAACATCATAGAAGGGATCAGGTGCCATGGAGGAGTAAGCATCCGCTGTCGACCGGCCACACCCGCCGAGTGCTCCTTGTCATGATCGGGTAAACGGAAAAATCCGCACAAATTTTAGTGTAAATAATGGCCTAACAATCAGTATGAAAATTGTCAGTCAGCATTTGACATAATGATAGATATCGTATTTGCCGATAAGGTCATTGTATCGACCATAGAACTTGCGAAATGATGACTTCAAATGAAATTGTTGATATCCTTATTTCATCAACTCATTGGTTAATAGCTTCTTTCCTTTCAAAAATTAATCGTACGTAAAGCATGCTCTTGCATATCGAATCAACTGGGAGACGTAAACCCCATATTCAGATGATCAGGGTATATTGCTACATAAGTAAGGGAAGTTGACGATAGAAAAGTTGAAGTCATCACGTTTATCATAAAGTTTTATTGTTAAGTTACCATTAACGTCTTTTTCTAGTGAAATATCCTAATATAAAACAGATGTGTAAGAATCTGTGGTGTCTTTTATTTCAAGTTCACTGGGATATATCGAATCGACATAAGAATGGAAGTTGCTATTTGTTAAAGGTGCTTAGACACAGAGTTGAACTTAATATTTTCTCAAATTTTCTGTATAATATCACGACTTATATATTGCAATAACATTTCACACGAAAATATAATTAAAAACTTATATTTTATCTGGAAATTATTGGAACTACGAATTCTGGGACGCGTTTGATTAACACATCTTTGTACTTACACGAATTTAACTTTATCCTTAATATTTAAGAAAAGAAGCGATTTTGTTATGTATTAATGAAAAATATTACATCTATAATCCAGAAAATTCAGAGTAGAAATGTTCGAAAGCAAAACCAACTCATCAGTATTGTCAGTCCATGCTCTGTGACGTGTACAGACTTTAACAAATTGAACACACCCGTGAAACGTAAACTGTTTTTGTAATCAGGGCACGAGCTCTGTTATTGTTAATGTTTACGATTCATCGAGTATGTTCAATTGTTAAACTCTGCACACACCACTGAGCACGGACTTACAATACTGTGTGTGGGTTTTGCTTTCGAACATTTCTACTCTAATTTTCTGGGTTATAGTTTGAATATTTTTCATTAATACACAACAAAATTGCCACTTTTCTTAAGTATTAAGAATAAAATTAAAATATGTGAAAGCGCAAGGATGTGTCAATCCAACGCGTCCAGAAATTCGAAGTTTTAATAACTTCGAGATGAAATAAGATTTTTATTAAATTTTAGTATGAAATGCTATAATAGCAACATATAAGTCATGAAATTATACAGAAAATTTGAGAAAATATTAACCTCAAATCTGTGTCCAAGCACCTTTAATTTATAATACGTCGTCGATACATCTAAATGTCCAGTTGAAGGCCACATATCGCGTTTTCTTCTTCTCATGTAGAAGTTTATGAAAAAAAAATCTGCTTCAAATGAATACCAAAATAGGTCTGCTAATAACAGGGGTCCAATTGGTATCCATGGGAATTCCAACAGATCGTGGAAGACCTGATCTTCAAAAACTACAAAGATATATCTTGTCAATCAGAAACCCAAGCATCTTTTTAATATCAACTTCAGAGTTCTTGTGTGTACAATCAGAATGTTTTGACAAAACAATTTTGCAAATGACCAATGACAAGGTAAGTATATTTACGAGTTCCCTTTTTATTGAAAAAGCAGCTAACTATGATGTCAAATAGAGTGGACTTCAAATTAGGGGGGGGGGGGGGGGTGGCTTTATTAAGTGTTGAAAAGTCGTACGTTTTGATGTTATTGATTTTGTCAAAAATTTGTGATTTCAAATTTTCTAAAAGTTCCTTGTTTATAAGAATCCACATCTGATTTACACCACTTCTCAAATATACTGTTGTACAGTACTCCTCAAGTTTCTCCTTCACTGCTGTAAATATTTTAGTGAAGAGTAATCAAAGAGGCAGGACATTTACTGGAAATCCGCTATGTATCTTTGTTTGTAATGATTTTTATGGAGTTTTGAAATCCAGTATAGGTATGGTATTTCACATTCATTCTGATTGTTGGGAATATTAAAATATTTAAAACTGACATAAGGCTCAGAAGAATTTCCACCTTAGAAAGGGAGCTATGGGTATACGTTGGATTACCACTTGCAGAATTAAATCCTAGTTTCTCTAAAATACAATTCAAATAATGAGCCTTACAAACAAAGACAATGTTGTTACCTGTTTTGTCAGCTGGGACCAGTACATATATACTGATCGTGTAATCTATTTAATTCTTGTTACTCTTGTTGAAATCAGGGAACCAGATTTTTGTAGGAAAACGTCATTTTTCAACCTCTTATCTCTCCCCAGGGTGAAAATCAAAATTTCAAAACCATATTGCACATTTACAGCACACCACGAATCATATTGCAAAATATGAATCGGCTACTGCAAAAAATGTTAGATGGATTAAGGGAACCTTTTTTTGTTAGAAAAATCGTTTTTCGACCCCACATCCATCCCCTAAGGTTAAAAATGTAAGAAGGGTTCAGGGAACCAGTTCCTATTAAAAAAAAAAAGTTGTTTTGGCCCCCACGGTGAAAATCGAAATTCCGAAAACTTATTGCACTCAATAGCACACCACCAATCGTATTCCAAAATATGAAAAGGTTACTGCGAAAAATGTAAGAGGAGTTCAGGAAATCGGGTTTTTGTAGAGACCCGTATTTTGACACACATTTTGCCCCTAGGGTAAAAATGAAAGGCCACTGCTTAAAATGAGAAGAGTTTGAGAAAGAAGATACTGTGATGGACGGAAGGACCATGATATCAATATACTCAAACTTTCTTTAGAAAGTGGTTAAAATGTTAACCGATGATTTCTTTACATGGTTCACTTTGGGTGAATTAAGAATAACTTTTAAAAAAATGTCGATTTTATTGATATCGGCGCTAATCACTCACTGAAAATGGTAAAGATCTACATATAAGGCAAGACAGGAACATTCTTAGTTCAAACATGGCTATAAACCGAAGTGATACTACTTATAACACACACACACACACACACACCCTCACACACACACACACACACACACACACACACACACACACACATATATATATATATATATATATATATATATATATATATATATATATATATATATATATATATATATATATATATATATATATAAGTTGACAACCAGTAACAGGTTATTCGAGTACTCGTCGAAAGGTCCGAATATCGAAAACTAAAATCAGTATTCTAGTTGTTGAAGAAAACATGCAACATCTTTTAATAATTTTCGTTATTTTTCAAGCACATTTAATTTTCAGAAATCATCTTTTCATAATTTCAAAAATCTAACTGTATTAAAGACCCTGACATGTCTTGACAACAATTAAAGTCTTTAGTATCTCAGGAAATGGCAGCGCGTTATTTTGACTTTATTAGATTTTACAGTTCAATACGATAAATTATATGGTCTCTTTTATAAGTAGCAAACATGCTTCAATCTTCTTAAGTCTGAAACTTACAATTCTAAATCTATAAAATTTGAACAATTAAAGCTTAATTTACTTTCATTGGAGCGTCTCCATATGAGTGAAAAATTCTTGAGAGGGACGTTAATCAACAAACAAACATAAAAACTTTCATTGGAGACACAATAAATTATAGTAAATCATAGTTCTATAATTATAAAATTATAGTTCTAATCATAGTGACATCGAAGTAATACCGTGTAACAGTTATTTTAAGCTTTCTAAATTCTCCGCACATTAAAATATCATCAGACATGCATTCTGACATAATGCGAGGCAAATATCTAACTGGCGGTTTACATGTACATGACGTTGCGAATGGTCAACATGAATTTTATTGAAAGGTAAGTTCATTTTGATATTGATATTCATTACTAAGTATCATGAAATCAAAATTGAATTTTTATAATACTTAAGTTACGTCTATTTATACCTGTACTTGCTAAAATCATTTGAATTTAATATTCTTTTTTTCACACTATGACTAAAATAACATTCCAGTTAGAACCTGCAATTTCATTTAATCAAGAGAATAAGATTCAGTGGATTTGACAACCTATATCCAAAGAATGCTCCCATAAGAAAGTTACTTTAAAAAAAAAATACAGAACACCTGTCAATTATTTAATGATTTAGCACTAATAAATTTGTTTGACTTTTTGAATGGTGAAGACTATGATCTTCTCTGCAGACTATGTAAGATGGTGAGCTCATGAGGTACAGATGAATAATCTTACTAATTTTGTCTATTTTTTTATGTTTCTTGTATAAAATTGGTTATCATATATATCATAATGTCATCGTATAGAATTTTATACATTTATTATGTGTTGTATATGTATTTTGAATTGCACTAAGCATATGTTCTCGTTGCTCTTTGCTTTCAATCCATACACATGTACATTATCTCGTATCTAAAGACATTAACTCATACAATATTTTGTATTTCTATAGCAGTGTATAATTTTCATTATAATGTTATTGTACTTACAACATATATATGTAACATTGGCATATAGCTAAAAGTAAGAGTGGACCAATCAGTGTCCTACAGCTCCGCCTCTTGTATTTTTCCTGTTTTTTCTTTGCACATGTATGTGTAAGTATTTATTTATTGATTTTTAACTTGTTTATTTGCCATTATCTTTATTATACCCGTACTTTCTTAAGAAAGTTCGAGTATATTGTTAACCTGGTCTGTCCGTCCAGCTGTCACACTATCTTCCTCCTCAAGCTACTCTAATATTTAAAGCAGTAGCCAAATCTTTTGGAATATGATTGGTGCCTCTATCATGTGAAGAAAGATTATGAAATTTTCAATTTTCCCTGGGAGCCAAAATAGGGACCAAAAACATTTTTTTTTCTACATATACCTGGTTTTCTGAACTGCTCTTACATTTTTCGCAGTAGCCCATTCATATTTAAGAAAATGATTGAGGGTGTTCTGCAAATGTGCAATAAGGTTTCAGAACTTAAAATTTCACTCTGTGGGCAATTTGCGGTCAAAAAATAACGTTTTTCTACACAAACCTGCTTCCATTAACTCTTCTTATATTTTTTGTAGTAGCCAAATCCTCTTTCGGAAGGTATTGGAAGTGTCCCGTAGATGTGCAGTGAGGTTCTAGAATTATGATTTTACAGTAGCCCATTCATATTTTTGAATAAGTCTGGGTGTATCCTGTAGATGTGCATTTAGGTTTTGGAATTTTGATTTTCACCCGGCCTGGAAAGGATTAGGGGCTTAAAAAAGAACTTTTTGTTAATTATAGAATTATTGTGGCTTCTTCCCTTGGTACCGAAATATGAAGGCGAGTCCATTTAGAGACAAGCCCATAAGAGTGGGTAATGCTGTCTTATGACAGCACTAGTAAATTTTGATATACCTATACAATTTTCTTCGAACAAAATTGAGCATTATTAATATGACTCTGTCTCTTATGCATCCTGCTATCTTTTAGTAACCAAGGATATGTGTATTTAAACTACACACCACGGGTGTAACTTTTTTTCTACTCATAATGTTACATTCACCGTTTTGTATAAATGCTTACATATATAAATTATTATGTTAATTAACCTTTTACCTTTTGCACATTATTTTTTCAAGTTGTCTCTAGTCATCATAACATATTATACAAACTGAACTAAGAGTTGATTCTCTAAGTTTCATTGTATCTAGTCATCATATCATTCTATTACTATACAAAGTGAACAATGAGCTTATTAGTTACATGTACATTGTACTAAACCGTTATATGTGCATTATTATATAATCATAAATTGTTATATGTCATGCCCCATGAGGTCCTAATTTGGAAATCTCTCTCACTCTCTCTCTCTCTCTAAATATGCGTTGATCAGTCCACGTAAACTCAATTTTATGTTACATCGTTAAGATAACTGACGATATCAAACGTAAAATATTTTTATCACTTTAAATTACAGAATCACTGTCAATCTTGAGCAGTGTTTCAATTCTTCTGCAGCAATTAACCTGACGTCAGACTCAACTTCCACAACCTCCACATCCCCCACCACACCCTCCACCTCCCCCATCCCCTCCCCCTCCATCACCGTCTCCATTTTCTCCTCCCCATCCAGATATACCCCAGCCTCCACCACTTTCTTGTTCAAAATATCCATCACTATATTCACTTTGATCAATGTCATAAGTTCCCAAAATCGCCTCATCATCATTTTCGGATGGTTGACAAAGTACTTGCAAAACATTGATACAAAATACAAGTGCAATATTTTCCGCACTATCTGTACGAGAAATGTTTAAAGTACCTTTGGAAAAATCAGTTATAAAACTCTGAGGTTTGACTTTAAAGTCATATCGCAACTGTTCACTGTAAATGTTTTTTTTCGAAGGCTTCCCAACTGTAGGCAATCTAAATAATGTGACCTCTAAGTGTCCTGGACTTCCTTTATGTGCTCTACCTGCCTTATGTTTGGTGGCTAAAATACAAAAAATTCCAACATACTGGTAAAATATAACACCCTCTGAGAAAGACAAATTATAATTATATACTTTACAATTTACCTTTTACTCCTGGAACACCTTTCCTGACACCTGTCCATCGTCCAACTAATATAGCCCAGTCACCTTCATTATTCTTTATTATCATTGCTTGTTCACCATCTTGTGGTGAGAGAGAAATTGGGGGATTCTCCACAGAGGACTGAACCTATTAAAATACAAAATAAACTTTTTGCAAAATTTTCTTGCAGCTTTTGAAAAAAATATGTATAATGTATGTGCTTTATTTGAGACACTGAAAACTTGTTTATTTGTAAATGTACAAACTCTCGTAAAACTAATAAGTAGAATTTTTTCAAACCTGAGATGGAGTTGGCAGAGTGTCAGAACCTATCAAATGGCAGACGACACTCAACTTATCGTGATAGTACACGTGAACCACTGACGTCATCAGTGACGAACTGTGTATTACGCGTGCTGTGAACATCACTTCTCCGTCTGCGTTTCGTATTCTGAGAAAAAAATAATAATTTCAGAGGAGTGTTATTAAAATACCTTTATCTATGAGCGCTTTATAACAAATATTTTAGTTTTCCTTTCAACTTACCTGTGATTTGCCACAGAACAACTGTTGTCCACTCCTTCAGGAAGGCGAGGTAGAGGCATAGGTCCCCAGAGGACTTCGTTGTGTTCCGGAATTAATGTCATCTCAAAGTTTCCTGCTTCCACCTTCAAAACACAGTCTCTGGATTCTGTAATCTTGATCGTGTGATGAAGATCAATGGATTCTCCGTTAGATAAACGCACAGTTGAAGACACTTCTGATGAAAGTCTTTTACAATCCTGCAATAATTCTCTACAAGTTACTCTGCCGCTTCCAACTAAGGTTTTACTTCCAAATTTCCCAAGAGCGCCGTACTTAAAAAGTTCGATATTGATGGATTCAACCATCTCTGTGTCGATGTCATATATAGGTATATTGTGGGAGGATGTGCTCCATACCCCTGGACATGCTTCTTTAGCATCAAAAGTTCTTTAACTACTCCATTTCTGAACACTGCACTAAGTTTCAGTTGATGAACTTTCAAAGCAGACGTGTAGTCTAAAATTTCTACTTTGTTTAATTGAAGTTTTAAGTGTTTGAAACAGTGCTTGTCAATTACTTTGCTGGAAACCGTGAACAGATGACCTTCCGGTGGTTTACCTCTGTACATGGCACCGAATTCTGAAAAGTTCGTTCCAAAAGCTTCCCGCCATAACATTCGTGTCTCCTTATCAGAGACTACGAGTTTTGATCCTTCTCTCCTATCATTGACGGAATCATCGTGGTTAAACAATTTCATTAATAATTAGCAGTCACATTTAAATTGCTTTAACATACAAGTGGGGGACTTCTTTTGCAATCGCTGGCAATTGATTCATACGATATTCTCATGGACCTACTAGAACATGTATATCAACATTCAGGTACACACACCACAATGGTCTCCTCTAAACAGGTTTATCAACATACTTTCGACCACAAAGGAGAAGCGTTATTATACGGACAGAGACAGGTGACGGACAGACAACCAGGCAAATCATATTAATCAAAGAATAAAACTTAATGTCTGAGGCACCTGAATATGGCGAATGTGAGGACAGGTCCTCCATAGAGAGAAGGGTATTTGTCTATTCTTGTAAGAAAGGCCAGTTCTTTAGTGGCTGCTGCCTGCAAGTCAAAAGAGAATACATAATTCTCCATTTCTCTCATAATGGTGATCTTTCTCCTAAAATAAAATACTTTATTTGATTGTTGTATTTTCCATCAGATAAATCACAAGTAGTACATGTGTTCCTTATTGTAAAAACAGTGGGAGCAGTTTGGCGATATTGTGGGGATAATGTGTTGTTTTTTTTCTGTGTGCTACTTTAATCTCGCTTATATATTTATCATATTGTGTTCTATTTTTCATCAGATCTTTCGTGAGAAAGTTGCGATAGCAGAATTTTATGTCCACTATTTCAACAACAGTTACGAAAAATTACAAACAGTATCTGTGGTGGGGTTTTATTGCTGTGCAATAATTTACAATTAACGAGTACTTCTTCCTTTGGAAGGTAGAACAAAATAAGCCTAACTTATGTTCAAAGATCACTTGAATGTAAAGGAATCTATCATATTATGTCCATTTACATATATATTATATTGCATAACCTAACAAAGAACACGGTCATATCCGACGAAAATCATTTGTTATTAGACATTCAATATTTATTTTTAGAAGCTTCAAAAGTTTTAATGCACAATTTAGGCTAGGGTGTATATTTTATGCATTGAAACGTGCATGCAGTCCTGCTATACTTGGAATTCTACACTGTACACTAAGAAGCGATAGCTTATAATAATGATAGGCTCTTTTCGAATACAAGATTATACCAGTATATATATATATATATATATATATATATATATATATATATATATATATATATATATATATATATATATATATATATATATATATATATATATATATATATCCAAGATACTACGTTGTAGTATTACTGACTTGTCTTCCAGACCTGTCCATTTACACCTCTTGATTGTAAGGGAAAGTTTGGCCCAAGACCGTATGATGAAATTTCTATATATAGTTTCGTACATGTACATCTGAAACACAATCAAATGCCATTAATTTATTAGTTTTTTATCACAAGTTTCTTAAATACAAAATATACACATACATTATGTTTATAATGAGTTAAACAATTGTTTATAAAAGATTGTTTGTAAAAGGCCAAGCTACAATATTTCCAGAAGGGGAAAACCCTTACAGGATTTCAGATTTAAACGTAGCTCAAGTATGTGCGGAAAAGAAATGTCAAAATAGGTTATTTTTTAAGCAAAATCAATGATTTTGAACTGTTTAAAAAATTAACAAGTCCTTACTGTTTCAAACTAGGATGTATATACATGTACTTACTTTCTTTTCTATGAATTTAAACCTGCATGTAAGCCTTCTAATCATGCTAATTGGTGACACATAAAAAAGAACGGCATGACTGCCTTTGTGGTTGTCATAAACAATTTATGAAGTTCTGGAAACGTAAAGAAAGTTTCTCGATCAACTCAAATTATTCCGATATCCGCAAACAAGGTTGTTATTCTTAATTTTTAGCTCAGCTGAGCCAAGGATTTTCTAGAGACTTTCTTTACGTCTTCCCAATCTCATAAATGTTTATGACAACCACGAAGGCAGTTCTTTTTTATGTGTCACCAATTACATTTAGCATGTTAAGTAGGATAACGGGGGTTGCAGGCGCGTAGCCAGAATAGAAATGATGTGTACGCAGAGAACGGCAGGGGTTGGTAGGGGCAGGGGGTTCTTGACCCACCCACCCCCCCCAGTGTTTAGGGGCTCTGGTCAGGCACGTAATATAGTTTTTGCCAGCCAGGAAAAAATTACAACTTTAAAAATTTTGAGAAGCAAGGACGAAACGGAAGATTGTCAAAATTCGAAGTCCTATTTCTTGTGTGTGTGTTTATGTGTTTGTTGAGGGGGGGGGGGGGGGGAGGGGATGGGTGTCCATCTTTCACAAACCAAATTTTTATTAATACATTACCAAATTACCATGATTTAACAATGGTGCAACAAACAGTGGGGGCCCACCCTTTCAATGTACACTGATTTTCAATAGTAAAAGGTTAGGTTCTGGGAATAAGTTGGGGGGGGGGGCTCCCCTGATACTACGTGCCTGCTGGTGAGGGACCAGAAGCTCCGGAGTTTTATCAAATATTTCATTCATTTTCTTGAAATATAAAAATTATGCCATTTAGTTTTTGTTTAGGAAATAAAAGACATAGTAATACTTATTGTTTTAACGAAAATTAATATTCCATGGAAACTTATTGTACATATAATTGAGGCTAAAAATTTAACCGATATAATAATTGGTATCATATAATCATTCTTAACGTTTAAAAACAGGTATACAAAATTTAAATAATGAACAAAAAAATATTGTATTGTAAATCATACTAGTAGCTTAGAGTAATCAACGATGTGACTGAAATTTAATTTTTCAAAGATCTTTAAAAAAAAATATCAATGTATTATAGAACAATGACAAAATAATGAATGATTTATTTGGATTTGGCAGTTATTAAATAAAAGATTTCAAATCTTATCATACAGCCATGATAATTTAAAATTTAAATCGACACAGTATGGCACAGAATAATTTGAAACACGAATATTTGTTGGATGGTACTGAGATTTTTTTTCTCCGAATAATTCTCTCTTTTTTCCCTTTCTTTTTTTTCTTTTTTCCTGAAAATGATGTGTACGCACTTGCGTATTTGCGTATAGACAGCTACGCGCCTGGGTTGATTCAAATGTAATGTCACAGCTGCTATATAAAATCTTTAATAATCAAAAGTTATGAATAAAATTTGACATACTAATACCCGTATCTATTTTAATTTTTGCCTAAAAATTTTATTCGATTACATAAAATACTTTTTTAAAATAATAAGATAAACACAACGCTAAGTTTTGTCTATCGCCGCGCAGCGAGAATGATACCAACGTCGTTATGACGTTACCTTTCGGCACTCATTTCCTGTTCATCCGCAAATTCTTTTAACCTCTCACGTGCTTCTTCTTAATAACATTACTGCCATTTTGCTATAAATCGTCTTGTTTTGAGGTATGGTATTAAAATTATTTAAACTTTGTCCAAATGTTATTTCTAAATTCTTGGAAGTGACAATCCACCTTAATTTTTTTATACTCTCTGACAAAAAAAATTCAGCAAATGTATACATATATATATGATGTAGTGAATAAAATAAATAGAAATAGAATCATTTTTATAGCTTCCTTTTTGTCTAAATCTTATGTTTCATCAGATTCAAAGTGGGTGTTGAAGAGAAACGTCAAAATAATTTAACGTCGGTACATCCTTGCCGCGAGGCGTTAGACGAGACCCAACGATGTATTTACTTTAATATTTTAAAAAGTACTGTATACATCTGAATGAAGTTTTAGAGCAAAGACAAAATAGACAGAGGAATTAAAATTTTGAAAAAATTATGGAAACTTTTGATTATTAAAAGATTTTATAGCAGTTGTGACATTCCTTTTGTTTGCAAGTTTAAATTCATTAAAACAAAATGGGCGATTAAAGTTTTACAAAGGAATAAAAAGGAAAAAATCTTTTAAAGTCTTCTCAAGAACCACTGTGCCAGAAAGGTTAAAACTTGTGTGAAAGCTTCTTTATATATATAGTGTAGATTCAAATTCATTCAAATCATGGCCCCCGACAGTGGGAAGGGAAGGATGGGCCAATTTTTGAGCGATCAATGTTTTACATAGGAATATACAGGATAAATATTTTAAAATCTTTTTCTCAATAACAGCATATGGCATGTTTAGTCATATTGATATTGAAGCATCCTCAGGTTGTTCGAATGAAGACCACTACCGGGGGAAAGGGTCGGGCCACAATGGAAGATCAAAGTTTTACACGCAAATATACTGGTTAAAAAATTAAAAATCTTTTCAGAACAGCAAAGCCATGATTAATCATGTAGATATGGAAACATCCTCAAGTAGTGTACATTCAAATTTATTCAAATCCTGAGGATTAATCATATGGATATGGAAGCATTTTCAGGTAGTGTAGATTCAAGTTTGTGCAAATCATGATCCCTGGGGTGGAGTGGGGCCAAAATATGTGACCAAAGTTTTACATATGCATATATATTTGGAAAAATGGAGAAAAATCTGTAATAATTTTCTCTTCTCAAGAAAATAAAGGCACGATTATTAGTCATATAGATAGGGAAGCATCTTTAGGTAGATTATTTTTTTTTTCAAATCATGAGCCCTGGATGTATATTTAGGGTGGGGCAACAAAAGGCAACCAGTTTTACATAGGAATATATAGGGGGGAAATCTGCTGGTGAAAAACAGCAGGGCCATAGTGACTCAGGTAAGCGTTGTGGTCCACGGGCTTCTTTTCTGTTTTGAGGTCAAGTTCTATTAAATGAGCTTAACCTGTTTCTTTGATGCTAGATTCCTCACGATTTCATAATTGATTGAAACTTACTCTCCCCCGTACTTTTCTGGATTATTTGAAATATGTAAAAAAAAAAAAAAAAATGAAGCATTCTCGTTGCATTCAATTTGCAATCACATGAAAATTAATCTGGATATCCATATTCAACATACATGTAATATCATTCTAGAACTGGGGTCAAGAAACCATTTCCCGATAGACTGTAGGTAATCTGAATACATTTCATTTCTCTGATATGAAAAAAAAAACTCTGTCTAAATACTCTTACTAGATGTTTTATGTATTCCAAACAATTCCATCTAAATCACTGCTTCCAATGTAATATTTGAACTAGTACTCATTGAAAATTACAGATAAAACATTTTTTATTGTGTTTTCCAACAAATTATGCCCCGATACACCTTATTAAATTTTGATCAGCCTATAGTTAAAAAGGCGTCATTAAAAGAATTTTATACAAATAAGAATATAACGTCATAGACTTCTCCACTGCGTAACGAAGTCAAAATCAAAGTTGTGGAATGATGAAAAAAGATGAGTATCATAATTCTCTTTTTAATATATCGGTGATATTACTCAACGTAAAAGGTAAAGATAACGAACAGTGATCGATCTCAAAAAAATCCAAGAACAATACAAATATGTGAAGAGGCCTTAAAATACAGACCCCTGGAAATTCCAGAGGTGGGATCAGGTGCCTAGGAGGAGTAAGCATCTCCTGTTGACCGGTCACACCCGCCTGTAAAATGCTAGTAATAACACAGTTCTAGAATGGGTATGAGGAAAATAATAGATTTCATTTGGGAGGGGGGAGGGCATAATTTTTTTTATTTTCTTTATATCCATTCCATTATTGTAAAATATATTCCCTACAGCACAAACTACATTAGTGAAACATAACCTCGAAGCATACTACTTGTACTCTTTTTCAATCAGGTACTTACTAGTAAATTTAAATGGTAATTAGTCTTTTATGTTTGCCAGTCAAAATGAAAACAAATATGTGTGGCAGGGGAACATGAGGGAACTTAGAAGGCTAGACTATTACAAGGCCATCAGACGGAGAGGTGTATCCACTGTATAAAATAAATCTCGAAAATATCTTTAAAACAAAAAAGGTTCGTTATTCATCTGTTTAAATTAATGCTGGTAAATTTTGTTTACTTAATTTTCAAAAACTAACTTCCAGAATGTACCAGACCACACAAAATGACACCCATTTACAAAACTTTTCTGGCTTAGGAACCCTCTAAGACTCTCTCCGAACCCACCTTTCCAGAAACCTGGTGACGGTCCTACATTGATGGACAGGGGATACTTTAATACTCCTCCATGGCACCTGATCCCCCCTCTGTGTTTTTTAGCTTGATTACTGTTTTATCGCCATTTTTCATAGCATTCATATGGAAACTTGATCTACTAAAATTCTGGATCCTGGGGCTAGAATATAATGGTAAGATCAGACGTCAATTTTTACTTTATGCATGTGAGCTACTGGGCAGAACAGCAAAGCCAAGTTTTACTTAGTCAAAAGGATAATGTAACATCCCAAGAATGTTTGGATTTAAGCTAGGTTTTGTCAAGAATCTCCGGGGCTAGATTGGGCCACAGTATGGGGTAAAGATTGTTTCAGATCATTAAAGTTAGGAAATATATACATGTATATATAATTTTTAATATCAGTTGGGTAAAAGTGACTCTGGTTAGGACTGTGGCTAATGGAGTATTTTTGTTATACAATTCATTGTTTGTTTTTATGAAGTGCTTGTCGTTGTTTCCTTCCATCATTTTGAAAAATCAAGGACACTTTTGTCATCGTGATCGAAGAGCTGCTGTTTAAGATTTTAATTGTGTTTCCATTTACACTCAAATCAAGTATACTTGATTTACTTGTACTTGATGTACTTGTTATTACTTATACATGTTCTTAGCTTGGCATTTACTAAAGATAAAGAATATGTTCTGATATTGCACAAAACCTGAAAATATTTACCATGATCGTTAAATTAATTAATACATTATTAACTGTAATATACCTTTTTTTACCTTCCAATAACATGTAATATGTGTGAGATAACTTTAATTCTTGAATAATGCTGTAAAAGTTTAAAAATTAGCTCACATAAAATTAAGCGCAGTCTTCCTTTTTATGGCTTGTATTAGTTAAAATAAGGTATAAACTTCTACATTGTGAATCAAAACACAAGAAGAAGCGCAAACGGCGTTCAAATATCGCTAAAACAAGTACCTTAACAGTATTCCAGGTAAAGTGGTTTTATTACTTGACGCATCTAAAATATTTGAAAAAAAAAAGTTGTTGTCAAAGCTTAAAAAGTTATCTTTAACATTTATTGTAGATAATACAACATTTACAATATACATACTACAAAATCACAACAAATGTAATAATAACTTTTGAAGAAACTGTTTAAAACTGCAAATATACACTTTAATGAACAAAATCAAAAAGAAAAAGAAAATTATATAAAATATTAAGGTTGTTCTAAAATCAATATATATGTATATAAGTATATATCCATTCGGAAGGAAATTCACATTCACAGTTATGGGGACATGCACTACAATTAAATAACTTGAGGAACACAAAAATACTGTGTACATTAATAAATATTGTTCTAAAAAAATACACGTATATACCCATAGCACCAGGAATAGTATATCTAAGACAGGTTTTAATTTGTATTACTGTTTATCTTTTTAAAAAGCATTAAATCATTCAGCCTGCTTCACTTGCAGACATCTCAAACAATCTGCATCAAATTCAGATACTAGTATTCAACACATACAACTTATTTTCAACTGCAGTTTTGCATTACCGAAAATTAATCGATATTGCACTACCAAAACTATTTCTAATCAAAACCAAAAATATTGTCAACAAATATTTTATTAGGTACAATCTTAGAACCAATGTGTAAAATTTCCGAAAATCTAACTTGGACACATTTACTTCTTCCATTTACAAGGATGTACCGCACCCCAGACTCATCGCGGGAAGTGGAATAGGATTTAAGAAGGGCGATTTCAATAAATTTAATTAAAAATAAGCATATTTTTTCTTATGAAAATCCACTGGCGTTATCAATTTCTAATTAGAACCGGTTTCTAAAGTCATCTGTATGAAAGATTTCGAAAGAAATGGGCTCTTCTATCGGTGTAAAGTACTGACAAATAATACAATCATATTTTTGGCACTTTCGCCCACTTTTTACAAAATATTTATATGGATATAAACATAATAAACAATAAAATCTCTTTGTGTGTTTGTTAATGCAGGAATGAGTTAACAATTTTCAACATGAAAATACATCGATTACTATAATAACTTTTACAGCCTCAACTCGAGCTTCATTAACAAACTTTCATCGTCTAGTGCTTCATTGACAAACTTTCATTGTCTAGTGCTTATAGTCTCGTATCTGTTTCTGGCTGATATAATCCAAAAACAGATAGATACTTGGATGACTGATATTAAATAATTGGGCACTGAATTTCCAGTGGAATACTCCATTTTGAATTTTCTGTAATAAAATCTAATGTTTTTTTTTTTGGAAATGAAATATAATTAGTTTTGGTTATGATAACAGGTAAGTTATAAAAATTTTCGGTAATGCTATGCAGTTATTTTCAACGCATTCAATTCTGTCTTATTCTCTAAAATGTATCAAAAAGATATATGTCAATAAAATTGAGTTCAAAAAAAGTTTTCAAAAATTTGTATTTTAATTGCTGCAGTGTTCATTAACAATGACCAAAGCATCACTATATTGTGAAGATAGCTAATGATTAAAAAAAAATACACACTCTCTCTCTCTCTCATACATTCACCGACAGAGGAACGAAACGACTACTCTACTACGGAGATTGAATAAAAATATTCATTTCATTGATATACCAAAACGATAGTCTATTTTTTATTTATAAAAAGGAAGACAACTTAAACCATTTATACACGGTTTCAAATTCTGTATAATTAACTTGGGGCTAGACTTTAACCCCCACAACCACCACAGCCTCCACCACAACCTCCCCCATCTCCCCCACCACCACCATCCCCTCCCCCTGAATCACCACCCCATCCCCCTCCATCACCGCCGCCCCCACTGTCACCTCCCCATCCACCGCCACCATCATCTCCTCCTGTATCTCCACCCCAGCCACCACCACCACCATCATCCCCGCCGTATCCTCCAGTGTCTCCATCCCAGCCACCACCACTTTCTTCTCCCCCATGCCCGTCGCCCCCTCCACAGCCACCACAACCACCACATCCTCCTGGATCGCCATCAGCAGTGTCCACATTCCCATCATCACCATCTTCATCTGCCAACATATTTTCAAAATCCTCATCTTTACAACAAAACATTGCTGCCTCCCACTGGTCAACCTCTTTATCATCGTCATTGTCATCGTCGTCGTAAACATCTGGCTCATTGAAAGGAGTATCAGATGAATGCATTGGCTCACTCACAGTGCCACCAGCATAAACGGGCGTCACATGCTCCTTATCTTCTTTCTTTTTCTTGAAGTGCTTTCTTAGCAGATGATTTGATGGTGAACAAATTTGGAATCCAAAAGCCATGACCAAAGCTAGTTTGTCTACCGGAAATTCTTTCTTCCTGCTAACATACGCAGGCATGTCTAGCGTAGTTTCCTTGACTGGTTCCCAATCTGGCGGTCTGGGTTGACAAAGTACTTGCAAAACACTAATACAAAATACCAGCGCAAGATTTTCGGCTCCATCTGTTGGAGAGATATTAATTGTACATTTGGAAAAATCTGCTACAAAACCGTGAAATTTGACTGTGAAATCATAGTAGCGGAATTGTTCACTGTCAAGTTCAAGTATCGAACGCTCCCCAGTAGGTAATCTATACATCGTGACCTCTAAGTGGCCTGGACTTCCTCGTATTGGTGCTCTGCCTGCTTTATATTTGGTGGCTAAAATAGAGGAAATTCAGATTGAACATTGAAGTTTAATAATAACCCCTAGGCCTACCTTTAATTTCTAGAAAGACAATTATAGTTTATGTTAAACAATAGATTTACCTTTCACCCCCGGTACACCCTTCCTGACGCCTGTCCAGCGTCCAACTAATATAGCCCAGTCGCCATCGTTATTCTTTATTATCATAGCTCGTTCTCCTTTTTGTGGTGAGAGGGTAATTGGGGGATTCTCCGCAGAGGACTGAACCTATTGCAATAAAATTACACAAGGAAAGTAACTTATTATGTTCCCCAAACGGAGTTTGGGAACATATTGTTTTTACTCTGTTTGTTATTATTATTATTATTATTATTATTATTAAGGTCTTCCGTTTCAGTCGGAAGACCTTATAGTGATTGTACTGTTTATTAAGGTCTTCCGTTTCAGTCGGAAGACCTAATAGTGATTGTACTGTTTATTATTATTATTAAGGTCTTCCGTCTTCACGGAAGACCTTATAGTGATTCTACTGTTTCTTATTATTATTATTATTATTATTATTCTTATTTTTTTTCCTAAATTTTGTGCACGCGATTTCTCAGCAACTATTCAGTGGTTTTCTATGAAATTTTCAGGAATTATGCGCATTTATAGGAACTTGATACATCTTGGAGGAATTTTGAAAATTCGCTTCCGGTGCCAAGTTATGGACAATTTCCTGATTTTAAAATGAAATTTTGTCGCCCCTTTTTTGCAAAAATGGTAAAAGATATGAACTGGAGACTTGTAAGAGAGTATAGGGCATGACTTATAGGTGAACAGAATCACCTTTTCGTTCGTCGTCGGCACTTCCGGTCGCTTACGGAAGTGATCAAAGAAATCGTAAAATTTCAACTTTGCATTTTCAAATCAAATCCTACACAACATTATTGCATCTCTTTCGTAGCTTCGAAATATGTTGGTCCCACCGGAAACAAAAACGTCAACTTCCGGTTATAAGAGAAAAACTACATAATTTGAGTATTTTTCTTTCCCATTAATATCCTTTGTAGATAAGGTATTTGAAATGAATTTTACATATGTTATTTAGACTGCAAATATCTAGAGTAACATTAATTATCTTTGTAAAATTCACTTCCGGTCGCGTGTTTTCCTGTCCTCAAAATGAGAAGTTGTCTGAGCAAGATCTCGGAAACGGTGAGAGATTAGGACACCAAACTTATATGAGCATCAGACCTTAAGATGTAGGCAAAACCAATTGGGTTCAGAGCGTCGGCCGTCACTTCCGGTCGTCACAGGAAGTGATCCAAGAAATCGAAAATTTCAATTTTTCTTTTTTTAAGTAAAAATTGCATCACTTCATTGCATCTTTTTCACAGATTCGAAAGATGTTGGTCCCACCGGAAACAAAAATGACAACTTCCGGTTATAAGAGAAAAACTACATAATTTGAGTATTTTACTTTCCCATCAATATTTTTTCTAGATAAAGTATTTGAAATGAATTTTAAATATGTTATTCAGACTGCAAATGTCTAGAGTAACCTTAAATATCTTTCAAAAATTCACTTCCGGTCGCATGTCTTCCTGTCCTCAAAATGTGAAGTTGTCTGAGCGAGATCTCAAAACCAGGTAAAAGAATAAAACACCAATCTTTTATGAGTAATAGACCTTGAGGAGTAGCCAAAACCATTTGGGTTAAACGCGTCAGTCGTCACTTCCGCTTGTCACAGTAAGTGATCAAAGAAATCTAAAAAAAACTAACTTTTCTTTTTTAAATTAATGCTTGCATCACTTTATTGCATCTCTTTCGCTGTTTTGAAATATGTTAGATTCCACCGGAAATAAAAACGTCAACTTCCGGTTCTAGGAGATAAACTACTTTATTTTGATATTTAACTTTCTCATAAATATTGCTCATCGATAAAGTACTTGAAATGACTTTATGTATGTTGTATATACTGCAAATGTCTAGAGAAAAGTCAGAGATTTTTTATAAAATTCACTTCCGGTCTCGTGTTTACCTGTCCTCAAAATTAGAATTTGATCTCACAATATTGCTTGGCAACGACAGTAAACGACTAAGGTCTAAAACTTTCTGGACTGATGGTCAGTCATCAGTTTATTTGAATCGTGAGAAAATCTTGTATCGCCGTTACTTTCGGTATTTCCGGTCGTGACCGGAAGTGATGTAAAAAAGTGAATGGTAAATGGTTAGCACGTTGGATTTTCACGCTGACGACTAGAGTTAAATCTCCAGAGTGTCTGAATTTCTTTTATCTCTTTTTCAGCTTGAATTTTCGTTTTTATTTTCAAAATCGGACGGAAGACCTCTCATTGCTCGCAATGAGTTTCTAGTTATTATTATTTTTTTCCCGTTTTTTGTCCAAGCGATTTCTCAGAGATGGCTCGATGGATTTTCTTGAAACTTTCAGGGATTATGACAAATGAAATAAACTAAAAACATTTTGAAGGATTTTTCAAAATTCACTTCCGGTCGTCAGATATGTCCGATTTCCGTTTTTTCAAAAGAGTTCATGTCCAGACGTTTTCTCAGAAACGGTAAAAGATTAAGACACCAAACTTTCAGGAATTATAGATCATGACAAGTACGTTTGTGGAACATGTTTAAATTTGTCAGCCGTCACTTCCGGTCGTCACAGGAAGTGATCAAAGAAATCGAAAATTTCAACTTTTCTTATTTTAATTAAATCTTGCATCATATTATTGCATCTGTTTTGCAGTTTCGAAATATGTTGGTCCCACCGGAAACAGAAACGTCAACTTCCGGTTATAAGCGAAAAACTACATAATTTGAGCATTTTACTTTCCCATAAATATCGCTTATAGATGAAGTATTTGAAATGATTTTAAGATATGTTATTTAGACTGCAAATGTCTAGAGTAACGTCAAATATCTTTGTAAAATTCACTTCCGGTCGCGTGTTTTACTGTCCGCAAAATAAGAACTTGTCAAAGTGAGATCTCAGAAACGGTAAGAGATTAAGACACCAAACTTATATGAGTAATAGAACTTAATGAGTAGGCAAAACCCTTTGGGTTAATAGCGTCAGCCGTCACTTCCGGTCGTTACAGGAAGTGATCAAAGAAATCAAAAATTTAAACTTTTCTCTTTTGAAATAAAACTTGCATCATATAATTGAATTTCTTTTACAGTTTCAATATATGTTGGTCTCACTGGAAACAAAAAACGACAACTTCCGGTTATAAGAGAGAAACTATGTAATTGGGATTTTTAACTTTCCCAAAAATATCACTATTGATAAAGTTTTTGAAATGATTTTTACACATGTTATTGAGACTACAATTGTCTAGTGTGAAGTCAACAATCTTAGGAAAATGCACTTCCGGTCGCGTGTTTTTCTGTCCTCAAATTGAGATTTTGTTCACCTAATTGCTCAAAAACAGTACATGACTGAAGTCTAAAACTTTCAGAATTAATACTCAGTCCTCAGTTTATCTACATCATGTAAAAATCGTACGTTGCTATCACTTCCGGTCGTGACAGGAAGCGATGAAAGAAAGTGAATTTTTAAAGTTTTTTTTTCTTTTTACAGAAATGTTTGGCTAGTGCGGATGTTAGATATACCATAACCATGCAATTTATTTTCATCGGAAGTGCCAATCGAAAAACCGGAAGTTGTCTCAAACATGAGTAGTTTTGAATGGAAACTTTTAGGGAGGATCAGTTGTGAAAAATTTAGGTGTAGAATGAACATTTTATTCGTTTGTAGCACTTTCGTACATGATGAAGTACATGTACATAAAGAAAACAGGAAAATAATTCAGTTTGTCTTTATTTGTATTTACACATCTTTGGAAGCCTTGAGATAACTTTTGTTAATTATTTAGGGTAATTTTATTGACAAGATTGTGGGGGTTTTTTTTCGAAGAAGTCAAGAAAACGGAAGACCTGTTATTGCCTAGGCAATAAGTATCTAGTTATTATTATTATTATTATTTTTTTCCCATTTTTTGTCCAAGCGATTTCTCAGAGATGGCTCGATGGATTTTCTTGAAACTTTCAGGGATTATGTAAAATTAAATAAACTAAAAACATTTTTAAGGATTTTTCAAAATTCACTTCCGGTCGTCAGATATGTCCGATTTCCGTTTTTTCAAAAGAGTTCATGTCCGGACGTTTTCTCAGAAACGGTTAAAGATTAAGACATCAATCTTTCAGGGATTATAGATCATGACAAGTATGTTTGTGGAATATGTTTAAATCTGTCAGCCGTCACTTCCGGTCGTCACAGGAAGTGATCAAAGAAATCGAAAATTTCAACTTTTTTGTTTTTGATTAAATCTTGCATCACATTATTGCATCTGTTTTGTGGTTTCGAAATATGTTGGTATAACCGGAAACAGAAACGTCAACTTCCGGTTATAAGCGAAAAACTACATAATTTGAGCATTTTACTCTCCCATAAATATCGCTTATAGATGAAGCATTTGAAATGATTTTTAGATATGTTATTTAGACTGCAAATGTCTAGAGTAACGTCAAAAATCATGGTAAAATTCACTTCCGGTCGCGTGTTTTACTGTCCGCAAAATAAGAACTTGTCAAAGTAAGATCTCAAAAACGGTAAGAGATTAAGACACCAAACTTATACGAGTAATAGAACTCAATGAGTAGGCAAAATCCTTTGGGTTAATAGCGTCAGCCGTCACTTCCGGTCGTCACAGGAAGTGATCAAAGAAATAAAAAATTTCATCTTTTCTCTTTTGAAATAAAACTTGCATCATATAATTGAATCTCTATCACAGTTTCTATGTGTGTTGGTCTCACTGGAAACAAAAAACGACAACTTCCGGTTATAAGAGAAAACTATGTAATTGGGATTTTTAACTTTCCCAAAATATTGCTTATAGATAAAGTCTTTGAAATGATTTTCATATATGTTATTGAGACTGCAATTGCCTAGTGTGACGTTAACCATCTTATGAAAATGCACTTCCGGTCGCGTGTTTTCCTGTCCTCAAATTGAGATTTTGTTCACCAAATTGCTCAGAAACAGTACATTGCTGAAGTCTAAAACTTTCAGAACTAATAGACAGTCCTCAGTTTATCTACATCTTGTAAAAATCGTACGTTGCCGTCACTTCCGGTAGTGACAGGAAGCGATGAAAAAAGTGAATTTTTAAAGTTTTTTTCTTCTTTTTACAGAAATGTTTGGCTAATGCGGATGTTAGATAGGCAATAACAATGCAAATTATTTTCACCGGAAGTGCCAACCGAAAACCCGGAAGTTGTCTCGAACATGAGTAGTTTTTCATGGAAACTTTTAGGGATGACCAGTTGTGAATAATTTAGGTGTAGAATGAACATTTTATTCGTTTGGAGCACTTTTGTTCCTGACGAAGTACATAAAGAAAACCGGAAAGTAATTCCGTTTGTTTTTATTTGTATTTACATATCTTTGGAAGCCTTGACATAACTTTTGATAATTATTTAGAGTAATCTTTTTGACAAGATTGTGTGGGGTTTTTTTTCGAAGAAGTCAAGAAAACGGAAGACCTGTTATTGCCTAGGCAATAAGTATCTAGTTATTATTATTATTCTTTTTTCTTCTTATTTCTTCTCCGGTACTTTTTTGTCCGCGAGTGTTCTCGGAAACTGCTCATCCAATTGAGTTAAAACCTTTTTAGGGTTAATAGGCATGTTATGTAGATTTGCGGAACAAAGGTCATTTTGCGCGCACGTGCATGCACGTGCGTGCGCGTGCAATGGGTAAAATGACCAATATACTTGATATAGCTGTAATTTTTATATTTTTTGGTGAAATGCTTTGATACTCAGAATATAAGGATATATTAGAAGTGTGAACAAGATGACATGGTCAACATGCACATGCATGCGCGTGCGCGCACGCGCAAAGCGTTAAATGACAAATTTACTTGATAATATCGTAACTTTTATACTTTTTGATGAAATGCTTTGATACTCAAAATATTTATATATATATATATATATATATATATATATATATATATATATAGAAAGAGTAGACAAGATGACATGGTCATCATGCACATGCATGCATATGCATGCACGTGCGCGCGCGTGCAATGTGTTAAATGACTAATATAATTAATATAGCCGTAATTTTTATATTTTTTGATGAAAAGCTTTGATATTAAGAATATATAGATATATTAAAAGTGTAGACAAGATGATTTGGCTATCATGCACATGCATGCACATGCGCGCGCGTGCAATGTGTTAAATGACCAATATACTTAATATAGCCGTAACTTTTATATTTTTTTATGAAAAGCTTTGATACTATGAATTAACAGACATATTATAAGTGTACACAAAATGGTATGGTCATTATGAACATGCATGCATGTGCGCGTGCGCGCAATGCTAAGATGACCAATATGCTTGATTTAGCCGGAACTTATATATTTTTTGATGAAATGTTTTGATACTGAGAATATAAAGATGCATATATAGTATAGACAGGATGACATGGTCATCCTGCACATGCATGCACGTGCGCGCGCGTGAAATGCAAAAAATGACCAATATACTTCATTGCCTTATTTAATGAAGCTTACAGGAAAAAAGTCACCAAAAGGGAGTTGGGGAGCGTTTGGGGAACATCTGTAACGGTCCCCGTTACAATTATAACTAGTTTAAGTTCTTATTAGCAATTTCAAAATGAAAAAGATCTTACATTTGTTTTTGTTTAAAAGAGGTTAAATTCATGTACATACAAATAATTGTAAAAAGAAATCTCTTAAAACCTAGAATTATTAGATTTTTTTATCAAACCTGCGCTGGCGTTGGTAAGGTGTCAGGGCCTATCAAGTGGCAGACGACACTCAATTTATCGTGATAATACACGTGAACCACTGACGTCATCAAAGACAAACTATGTATTACGCGTGCTGTGAACATCACTTCGCCGTCTGCGTTTCGTATTCTGAGAAAAAAAAAGATTTAAAATTTCAGATGAGTGTTATTAAATACTTTTTTGTCTATGAACGCTACATAACGAATATTTCAGTTTTCCTTTCAACTTACCTGTGATTTGCCACAGAACAACTGTTGTCCACTCCTTCAGGAAGGCGCGGTAGAGGCATAGGTCCCCAGAGGTCTTCGTTGTGTTCGGGAATGATGGCCATCTCAAAGTTTCCCGCCTCCAGCTTCAAGGCACAGTCTCTAGATTCTGTAATCTTGATCGTGTGATGAAGATCAATGGATTCTCCGTTAGATAAACGCACAGTTGAAGACACTTCTGATGAACGCTTTTTACAATCCTGCAATACTTCTCTACAAGTTACTCTGCCACTTCCAACTAAGCTTTTACTTCCAAATTTCCCCAGAGCGCCGTACCTGAAAAGTTCGACATTGATGGATTCAACCATCTCTGTGTCAATATCATACATAGGCATATTGTGGGAAGATGTGCTCCATACACCCTGGACATGCTTCTTTATCTTCAAAAGTTCTATATCTACTCCATTTCTGAACACTGCACTAAGTTTCAGTTGATGAACTTTCAAAGAAGACGTGTAGTCTAAAATTTCTGCTTTGTTTAATTGAAGTTCTATATGCTTGGAACAGTGTTGGTCAATGACTTTGCTGGAAACAGTGAACAGATGACCTTTCGGTGGTTTTCCTCTGTACATGGCACCGAATTCTGAAAAGTTCGTTCCAAAAGCTTCCCGCCATAACATTCGTGTCTCCTTATCAGAGACTACGAGTTTTGATCCTTCTCTCCTATCATTGACAGAATCATCGTGGTTAAACAGTTTCCCTAGAAGAGTTTCTGTATCTTTTTTATAACCTACCGGGTGAACTTGATGTGAATGCCAAATTAAGTCAACATCATAGCACGGAACAACAAAAGATTCTGGATTTAGACGCTTTAATGTTAGAAATTGCTTGTACCGCTTTATAGCGTTTTGAAGAAACATTTCATCAGTATAATGAGGCAGGGATACCTGATAGTAGAACATTTTCTGTCTTCCTGCTGCCGCTTCCAAGTCATATTGAATGCAAGATTCGTATGAAGGTGGTTTGATTCCCGTTTCGACGAGATTCACATTGAAATTAACATCCGGGTATTTCTTGGACCATAGCTGCTCTGTACCCGCGGCGTCTACAGTAGGTGTTAGGCTGTGGTTGACTTCAGTATTACAGGTCCGCAGACAATCGTTGATGTACGCCACAGGAGCTAGTAAATGACAATGCCACACCCATGCAATGTCTAGTGGGGCAGTCAGAGTCAGATCCTTATGTTCTGCAGCGAATGGCAACCACAGTGTCTCATACCTGCATTGACGATTGATGAGTTAAACCAGTAGGTATTTGTATTTATATAATTTAATTTCAACGTCCGCTTTAAGAAAATGTCCCCAGGACGATTTTAGTAATACATGAAACATTTTGCAAAAATAAATGCACAATTTTTTTTCAATTAAGATAAATATACTATTGCTACATGTATTTTAGTGTAACTTCACATTCAATAATGCCTTTAATGGTCTTAATGAATCTAAATTTATATTCACTGAACATTTATTCCTTTATTTCTTATGAAAACAACTTCCTTAATAAATCCATTAATGTTTAACTAGTTAGAACCGGTTTTCAAAGGCCACCTTTTTGAAATATTTCAGTAGGCTCTTCCATCAATGAAACATACCATGACGTGCAGATCAATAATACTATATTTTACATACTTAACATAAATCTAAACAATAAAATGTCTCTCTTTAATTTGGTAATTTATGTGGGATTAACGGTTGCAACCATTACAGAAAAAATTACATAATTTTACGTGGGTTTTGTGGTAGCAACCGTTTATTTCCGCATTAACAAAGAAAGCACTTAATTAAATTGCTTAAATATTCGCATTTAGGTACATAAACGCATAATGGTCTCCCCTTTCATAAACATCCTTTTGACCACAAAGGAGAGGCATATATAAAAATACTAATTTGACATATATACCGATGAACACACATAATGATAAATCAACTAATTAAAAGAAAAATCATAATAATAGAGGCACCTGAATATGGCGTATTTGAGGATAGGTCCTCCATACAGGGACGGATATTCGTCTATCGTTGTAAGGAAGCCCAGTTCTTTAGTTCCTGCTGTCTGGAAGTCCACAGAGAATTCATAATTCTCAATGTCTGTCATAATGGCGTTCTCACCGGGACCCCCTATAATAAAATCATCTATATGACTATTGTTTGTGGAACAAATATTATGTCAATGATCAAACTTTGAAATATGTAATGATCAGATTTTCATCAAAATGCATCATTTCGAAACTGGGGTGGTTTCCGAAACGCTACATGTATAAGGAAAAACAAGATCGTGAAATACCGCTTGTCATGTTATTCACCCGGAATTGGAGAATGCGAGAAGAGCTATTAGACGGATAAATTGTGTTTGGTCAATCTTTTGCCTTAAATTCCCATGTAATTATTAAAGAGATCTCATACTTTGGTTGCAACAGTAGCATCTTATGAAGGGTGTGTCAAGCCTTTGAACCAGAGTAAAGTAACAAGGCCAAAGGAATTGGAATATATAGCAACGTGTCGAGATTATAACATTAAAACAGGGACGCAAGAAAAGGACATATTCTTGAAACAAAAATCCATGTAGTGTAATTAATGCCAGAAAATTTATCCTGATCATGTTAAAAAAAAAAAAGGGTTCTTTGACCAGTCAGTGATACGGGGACTGGAAATGTACGATTTCGCTTTCTGTAATAATGAAAAAAATTTGGAAGCTTAAGTTTACAAGGGTGTAAAGTGTTTGTTTATATATTACATGTTATTTCAAAAATGACAAACTAAAAATTTGCACAAAGATTAAGGGTGTGACGCGACTTGATCTGACCCATGGTCATCTAGACAATTTAATTCACTGTCCGATAGGCTTTATATGATTGCTGAGGGCATTTCGTTAATAGCATTTTACTTCCAAACAAAATACAAGCACTTTAAAGGGAAAAAAATCAAAATAAAAAATAGCATGATATTACATTCCCTTTTCATCACATTTTTTTCGGTCAATCAGTGGAAAAGTTGCGACAGAAGATAGGTGTCAAACTCTTGTTCATGCTACTATTATTTGACAACAGAAAAAATGTGAGAAACGTGCACATCTATAGGGTGGGGCTGTTGGAAAATATATTTCATCGGGAAACTACACAAGATCATCTCAACAGTTTATTTAATCGCCTTATTATAACAAGGGATACATTACATAACATTTTGACAACTTAGATATCCCCAACAGGAAGGCCTATTCAGTATAAAAGCCACAGGCACTTGTTTCGTATACGGGGCACCCCTACTTATGTGGTAAAAATAAGTAGGGGTGCCCCGTGTACGAAACAAGTGCCTGTGGTAAAAATAAGTAGGGGTGCCCCGTATACGAAACAAGTGCCTGTGGTAAAAATAAGTAGGGGTGCCCCGTATACGAAACAAGTGCCTGTGATAAAAGCCGCTGATTTTAAAAGTGTACACATACTTACTTTATTCTTTATGTTTTGAAACCTGTATACAATCCTTCCAACTGACTAAGGAATGCGTCTATCATGTCTATCACTCTATGATCATGCTAATATTGATGATACATTATTACACTGAACACAGCTTTGATGTGAATATATAATGGCATGTTAAATACTCGGAAAGATAATGTTTTTATTATATCGTGGAACATTTCCTAATTTTTGTAAAAACTTAACTCAATAACTGACCTTTCTCAAGACTTGTCCATTTACACCTTGTTCATTTGTTTATGAGGGAAAGTGAGGCCCCGATGGGATACATAATTTTTCGTGTATATGAAACACAAATAAATGGAAGTAACTAAGTATAGTTGTTAAATCCGGTTACTGGTTTTTAACACAACAATTGTTTAATATTTCGTGAGATTACTGTAAAAGATTCTTATAGATAGACCTAGTTCAACTATTAAATTACTTTGTGCCCAGAAGGGGAAAGCCCCTTACCGCATTATTAAAAATACTTTGTTTTGTTACAACAGTTCGAATATATATGCGAATGAAAAGTCAAGCAATAGGCCTAATGAATCAAAGTGAAAGTGTACGTGTTTTCAATTTTAATCTGCTGTTTTGTTTACAATTTTTTGAGCAATGACCTAGGGGATAAGAAAAGTGAAACAACCTTCCAAAATGAAAGTAGAATTAATGTCAACATGAGCACGCCAGAATCGACGGAGCAGACAAATGGTACAGAAAACCCTACACAGGAAAATGTACGCAAAATCAAAACAGTTTTACCACATCATATGGCAGGGGGGCCTAAAGGACTAGGTACAGTAATTATTAAATTCAAAGAGCGAGCTGATATTAATAGCGTTGCTACAACCAGACAACGGTTGTGTAACAAAGTAATTAATTACTGGTAACTTTAATAAACTTGTAAGGGGAGAGGAGAAATATGCGACGAACCAGACCGGGATTCAACCCGAGCCCCCTGAGTCTTCATCAGGTACTCTGTCATCAAAGCTATCTGGCCAACGGCGATCGAACCCGTCTGACCGCCACGTTCCTCCCTCCTTAAAAGTCTTCGGCCCCCGAAGACGCCAACCCAGGGTCTTCCTTGGCAGGTCTTTCACTTGTCACTTCCAGGGTATGACATGGCACCAATTGTAATGGGAGAGGAGAAAATGTGACGGACCAGACTGGGATTCAAACCTGGGCCCGAGTCAGGCCACTGGCGATCGAACCCATCAGACTGCTACAGACTTATAAGTTGTATATGCAGCATGCCTGGTTTGAGTGGCCTGACATCGGTGTAACATGTCCTGACTCTATAGTATTGTATGGACTATTTAAGAGGGAGACATCACAAATTATCAGGTTTGGGTAGGGATATCACCGAAGGCTTGCATCTGAGGGTGACAGCTTACTCAGACCTGATGATTTGTGATGTCTCCCTTCTAAACAGTCCATAAATAGTTTTGTTATCCTGGAGTATTTAAATTTAATACAACAGAGTAAAAACATTTAAACGATCCAAACTCTTGTGTTCTCTACCCACTGCTCTGATTCTATAGTTTCAAAAAATGTCGACAGACAACTTTGATGTCGCCGTTGGAATTTATTGTTTACATCAATTATAGGCCGTATATGAGTTATCTTGCTTTCAACATTTTATTCTGATATAAAGGGAGACAACACAATTGTCACCTTGCATGCTCATTTGTGCTATTTCATTGTCATCTGAAGGGAGACAAGATCATCCTGTGTGTGAGGGAGACATCATGAATGGTCACCCTGCATGTGGCATGCTTTGAACCAATCAGATTGACTGGTTTATTCTGAGGGATAATAATAATTGATGGTGCTTTTGTCCTTCGCACTTTTGGACCAGGCCCGACCAAATTTTGCACAAGAAACTTGGAGCCAAGTTGATGTGAAGAGCCTCCCATGCACTTTTCATGGGGTGATAGGGTTATAAAAGTTAAAAATGAAATTATGTGAATCTTTAAAAGAAAATACCATGCTTCTTTTGACTGCATGTGCAACCAAATTGAATATTTATTTAAGAAATGACCATTGTGAGTCACCATTTTTGATGTGTGATGCATGTAGTTTCATTTGATAATATAATGTAGAATCTAATTTAATTATTAAATCTTTGCATAAGCAACCCCTTCCAGAATATTCCTGTATGAACAGTCTTAAGTGGTGTATCAAAATGTATTTAAAACATAATTATTTATATTTCAGGTGATCCCGATGACCGAACTTTGCGTAAAGTGGAAGAAGATACATTGGTTGGAAATGTAATGAGAGAACGAGGAAAGATTATTTGTGAACGTGAACTATTAGGTAAAAATAGATAGAATTCAACGTGTGACATTCTTTGGGCTCTGACTTTATGAATATGCAGTTGTTGTTTTCACATGAGTAAAGCCAGGAATATTTGGATTACTTCAATATATACTCAACAAACCTAAATGTATTGTTATCAAAAAGATTATGTAATTTACAAAATGTAGTTCTGAATTTTTAGAGTTTGGTATATTTTTTTCTATAATAATTAAGGTACAAAATGGGACAATTTTGACTGGCAAATAAATAAATTTGGAATTTTTTAATGTTTAAAAATGGGAATCAGTGTTAAGATTTCATTTTGTATTAAAAAAAAATCTTCATCCATGAAATATGTTCAGGGGCTGACAAATAGATTTTTTAGACACTTTTCCAAGGGCAAGTGCATGGTCAAAATTCACTTGCCCTACCTGAATATTGTTTGCCCCACCATAAACTATTATCATATTTTTATATATTGGTACATACACTGTATATATTACTATAACAGCTGAACAACTATCAGAACGTGCTAGGAAAGCATATTATGCTATTAAATCAAATTTTCCTGCAAACATTAATTTTTCAGCTGAAATTATGTTAAAATTATACCAGTCAATGATAATACCAATTATTACATATGGATCTGAAGTATGGATAACTGACTTCAAATGTGATTTAATGTCTTCAGACCAATTTCCTTTTGAAAAAACACAACACTTAATATTTAAAGACATACTAGGGGTACATAGAAAGGCATCAAATCTTGCTGTTTTATGTGAATTGGGTCGTTTTCCTTTGTACTATTTATGTTATGAATATGTGTTTAAATATTTTAAGAGACTTAAGGAAATGGAAAACAAACATGATTATAATAATTATTTAGTGATTTCTGCATTTAAAGAAGACAAAAAACTTGTATCTAGAATATCTTGGCAAAGAAAACTGTCTTCATTACTACAAAAATTAAATATCACTTCTTTGGATATTTCTCACACAACCTTGAAAAACAAATTACAAGAGCATTACCAAAACAAGATACATGAACAACTGAAAAATATAAGCAAATCAAACTCTGGAAAGTTAGCTTTTTATAGTAAAATTGTAATTCAAAATGAATACAAATTGCAAAGTTATTTAAAGCTGCCTTTAAAGAAAAGTTTTAGATCTGTATTAACAAAATTAAGGATCAGTGCCCATCCATTGTATATTGAAACGGGCAGATACTGTAAACCCCCTATTCCTAGAGAAAAACGTTTATGCTATTCATGTAAATTATTTATTGAAGATGAAAAACATTTTGTTCTATACTGTTCAAAGTATGACCAATTTAGATGCAATTATACTGATATATTTAATGTAAACACATATACTAGTGATAATCCCATTAGAAAAATTGTCAATCCTACAAATATTACAACTGCTAGAAGGATATGTTGTTTTTTGAAAAAGTGCTTTGACACCAGAAAAGAAAGTCAGCAATGAATACTTAGAGATATGTGAATATACTCTACATTATTTTGTTCAACTCACATTTGTCATTTTGTATATGTATGTATTATTCTTGTTAATTCGTTTTATGTCATGACTGTATGCCGACATGGTAATTGTCAATAAAGTGAATTGAATTGAATAACAGTAACGTGATCCAGAGAGCCTTACGTATCACATAGAGTTGACAGGCGCGAATCATTAGATTAAATGAGACACAAAGCATTTCATTTTATCTGATAATCCTTGCATGTATACTCAATGTGTTATGTCTCTTCATCTCAAATTACTGATATAATGATCAATTCATTTTATACCACTCTATTATTAGCTGAATATAATAAACAAAAAACTTTTGGGATCAATTACACAACTTTTATCTGGTAAACAAAAACTTTTTCAAGGAATGTTTTTGATACTCAAGACAATAACATTTTGTCAACTATGTATTATGTCATTGATTTCAGAGGGGGAGGGGGGATGAAACCACTGTGTGCTGATCTGGAAAGTCGGATCACACCTTCACATGATTGTGTGAAGTCAACACTAAAATTCAGTGGTACAAAGTTGGATACTGGTATATGAGAAATCCACTGGTACAAAGTTGGATACCGGTATATAATAAATCAAAGTGTTTTGAACAAGACTTCATCCTAAAGTTTTCTTTTCCAGGAATATAAATCTCGATCTGTGTAAAATAAAACCTTTGTAGGAATTAAGATGTATTCAGTGATAAATCGATTTTATATAATTAATACTTGTATATTTTTCAGATTTTATGGCATGCTCAGATGAACACTATGTCTTGTTTCCATGGAAATGTAGGACACAGAGCAAAAAATACAATCAATGTTTAACAGATCTGTAAGTATATACATGTACATGTACATAGTAAAATAGAAGTTCGAAGTTTTTGTCTTCTTTTTAAATAATGGCTACTTGGAAGCTCGGATGAAATCTAATAACCATGAAGATGAAGATAGTATTAATGTTTTACACTATAATGCATTCCAATGCAGTTGCAGAACTGTAGGTCATTGCTAAAGAATTAAGATAAATGATCAGCATTAATCTCAAATTTTTCACACCTGTTTTAAACTAATGAAAATGATATGTAAAAGGAAAGGAGAAAATGCGTGGCTAGACCGGGAATCGAACCCGGGACCCCTGCATCACTAGTCAGGTGCACTACTGACTGAGCTACCTCAGGCTGATATCCATGACCCAAACCATTACATTCCTCCATCCTTAAATTGTCTTTGCCCTTGAAGACACAACCCAAGTTCTTATTTGCCCCTGGCAGGACTTTCACCTGCAAGTCCAGGGGTGGTCAACGGCACCAAATTATATAACATAAAAGGAGAAATGTATGGCTGGACCGGGAATCGAACCTGGGACCCCTAGGCCTGCATTACTAGTCGGGTGCTCTACCGACTGAGCTACCCAGACCAATATCCACAGCCCAAACCATTACAGATATACATGTAGTTTGACATACCATCATTTTGAGAAAAGAGTATGCACAAAAAGAAGTTGAGCAGGATCTTTCATATAGACCAATTTTAATACAAAACTGGAAATTGTGGCATGGCTAATTCCATCTTTCAATTGATAAATTAGTACATTTACACCTGTGTTTACTATAGTTGTCTCCCTTTGTAGTCAGGTACAATTTTCTCAAAATGATGCAAACTATGATAGAACATGTTATTGTATGTAAATAGTAAACATGGATGAAATTCATTACATAAAATCTTTTTTTTCAAGGAACAGTGATCCAACATTTCAAGATGAATGCAAAGAGATTTATCTCCAAAGGCGGAGACATTATCGTTTAACAGGAAGATTCGACACTTATCATGAAAAAAATGAAGCCATGAAAAGAAGGCTTGAGGAGAGAAAGAAAATGAAAGAAGAAAAACAGCGACAGAAACAATTGGAAGAAGAGCAGCTGGGAAATATACAGGACACTAGCATGTTTGGAAGATTTAGAAATTTATTTAGGTCCTGAAAATTTTTTTTATGAAACACATGCATCAATTAAAGTCATTTCCTAATACTACTGTGCTCTTATCTCAACATTACCAATATTTGAGGTCCCTCTATACACTAAAGTAAAATGTTTTTTAGACAATATTCAATGATTCAGTCGCGAGAACGAGAAAATTTGGTAGGAGGCAGCCACGGGTTTGTGGAAATAGAATGGACACAAAACCCATGGCTTGCGACAATGATTCCTTATATTTATATTATGCAGCACCAAAAATATACTTAATTGTTTGAATTTCTTGTTGCCCTATATCATATTTTTTATTAACGATGTGATGTCATTTTAGCATGAGTTTCTCAGCGTATATTCTTACACTTGAATATGTAAAATGGCATTCAAATCAGTTTCATAGTTGGTATATAAAAACACAGCAAATGTAAATGATACGATTTTAACAATTAGAAAACATGACCTTGCTCAATGTAACTTTGGCATTTTCAGTAGAATCAGTGGCACATATCTGACACCAAAGACATTCTTTATGCCTCCTTTTTAAAATGGGGGCATATTGGTTTGTATCTCTCAATCATAGGTCGGTTGGTAGGCCAAGTGCTGTACAATCAATATCTTGAGAACCCTATGCTTGACAGACATCAAACTTGGTACACTGTTAACCCCTAATAGGATGGCCACTACCGATTTTTAGGTAGAAAGGTTAATGGTCAAACTTCTCTGAACATTGTAAAAATTGAACACTCATTTGCTTGCATTGATAGACATCAAGACTTGGTACTCTTGTACCTAGCACCTAAGGATTAGATGACCCCTACTGATTTTGAGGTTGCAATTAAGGCCAATGTTCAAAGGTCAAACCACCCTTAACATGAGAAGATATTGTTTGCTCAATATCTTGAAAACCCTTTGCTTGACTGACATTAAACTGGCACACTGGCACCATTTATGAAGGAGATGACCTCTATTGATTCTGAGGTCACAAGATCAGGGATCAAACTACTCTGGACAAAAAAAATATTGTCTGCTAAATATCTAATTGAGAACCTTTGCTTAATAGACATCAAACCTAGTACACTGGTACCTGTAAAGGGTAGATGACCCTTGTTAATTTAAAAGCTCACAAAGTCAAACTTAGTACATGTATTGTGGTTGCCCCTGACTAGTAGATAAGCCATGTTTTTCACTATCATTACAGACATTTGGAATTTAAAGTTGATCCTTTTCAATATTGCCATATTGGGGGAAGGGGGTGGGGCATATGGCATATGTTTCCAAAACATTTTGGTTTTTCAAAAGGACACTACCCATTTCACCAATAAGAACAACATTGGAAAATTGTGAAAGCAAATGATGTTTTGAAAATTAGTTGGTATATATAAAATACCTTAAAGTGCAGTACTTTTATCCTTTTTTACAAAATTTACAAATCCAGAAAGAAAGTCTATATTAACAAGTTGCTCTCGTGATAACTACTGCTTCAGCTCTTGAATCTAATCTCAACCTTCATTCTGGGGACTTCTACATTTATAGTTTGTACTTCCTAGTGTTGCTGACAAGTCCAAACTATTTAACATAGAAAATGCAGTACACACCAAGTACACAAGGCAATTTTTTTTTCTTTTCCGTAAGTGACAGTTGATACAGTTTGTTTTGATGTAACATAAATGTGTTAACACCTACTGAGATTCTATAAACATGAAAAAGAAAGAAAAGCAATCACACAAGTTTCAAAGCTTTTATTATTATATTAACAAAATATATCTGGATATTTAATGCTCTGCGTTGAACACTAATTTCCAGATGATCCTCTTACCTTAAAGAATGATAAAGAGAGGAATTCTTTGTATTATATAGATCTCATTATGATCTAAATAATTACCCTACAATTTTTAATAAAATAAATGAATCAGGGTATAAATATACAGTAAATTACATTAAGATGAATTATCACTGACTCCATCTATGTAAAACCAAAACAATTATCTAGTAACTAATTGTGTATATAATAATGCACAAAGAAATTTTACTTTATTTCATTTGTAAATAGATTTTTCTTGTGTAGTCCACATCATAAATTAATTAAGTGCTAAAAGCAGGTAAATGTATATATGGCAACTTATTTGATGATCAAGAGACAATGAAATTTATCTGAAAGAATTCACAACCATCAATACAATATTAAAATCTTTTTTAAATAATAATCACACGGTGAACATGTGTTGCTAATTATGATCTATCTATAACAAACTGAAGACACGGATTGCAGATTTGTACCTTGAAAGGCCCAGATCTTTTACTAAATGTGAAAAACTTAACAAAGTTACCTAGCTGTGTTTCCAACTGTCAGTAATCATGGCAATATTTTAATTATAAAGACACACCATTCTAGGATAAATCATGTATTACTAGAAAATTCATAAAAATACCCGTGGGAAAAAAAGCATAGTCATAATATTTCCTTTTTTCTGCAGGGGCATTAATCAAGTGTATAATAATTAAGTAGTATTATGCAATATGGCAAATAGACATCACCTATCAATCTTCATGTTATCAATAGTTTTTCCACATGCTCAAAATAATTCTCTAACTGGACCATTAACACACAAGCATCCTTTGTTATCTTGCCTACATTACATGCAGCATTCTCCCAGACTTAATATTCCTGTGCGAGGACATGAAACAGATTGGAGAGGACTATTAGTTGAGATCACACTATTACTGAGATGAGCTAGCTTGCTGAACGTTGCTAGTTTGTTCACTTGATGGTTCCCTTAATAACACAGTCTCTTGCTGTTTCTGACTTTCTATAGCTCCCATTTCTTTAGCTTTGTTTGTGGCTGTTTCCACAGCACTAATTAATGCGGAGCGGAAACCCTTTTCCTCTAGTCTGTGTATCGCTGCTATCGTGGTGCCCCCTGGTGAACAGACTTCATCCTTGAGTTGTCCTGGATGCTTCCCTGATTCCAGCACCATTTTAGCTGCACCCTACGGAATACAATCTTACAGGGTTATAATGCTGTAAATTAAGCATATTTGGCTAATGCTGACTTCCATAAGTTATGGAATCTCTGTCTTTCTTTCCTTAAATCTTAATCAATAATCAGTAAATTGTACAGGGGAGCTTGATACATTTTGTATTCTATGCATGACACTTTTGAGTATCATAACTATTACTAGCACTCACCAGTAATGTTTGAGCTGCCAATTTTTGTGCTAGGTCTCGGGGGAGTCCCATCTTGACTCCACCATCTGCAAGAGATTCTATTGCCAAAAATCCCTACAAGTAGTGAAAATTCATCATTATAAGCAATGTTTTTTTACTCCACAAAAGGTACATATATAATGAATAACCATGTTTGTCTGCCTTTTTTACATAAGATTGTTTAGGGGTTTTAAGATACAGATGGCAGATTTTCTACACTAAGACGATAAGCAGTGACTGAATGACAATGCTTACTGTGAAATCACTAATTTTCGGGGGGTGGGGGATAATTTTCATTGATTTGGTGGTACATGTATGAAGAGCCCCACAAATTCATGTTTTCCATGAAATGATAAAATTCTATACAAAAGCTTAAAGTCCATCCTTCACCCACAAAATCAAATCCCCTTGAACCAATATTTTCATTTCAAACCGCGAAAATTTGACCCCACGAAAATAAATGATTTTACAGTACATAAGCAGGTCAACTCCCACTAAGATTTAGAGAGAAAATTTTCTAAATCAGTAAGCAGTGGCTGAATTGTAGTACAATGTACTTACATAGGCGGGTCCACTCCCACTAAGTCCTGTGACTGCATCCAGCTGACTCTCAGATCCAGCCTCACAAATTCCAATGGTTCTGAACAGTCCCTGAATAAGTTCCTTGTCCCCAGGGAGGACAGAGGACCCTGGAGCAATAACTGTGGCCCCACTCTGGACAAGGGCTGGAGTGTTTGGCATAGCTCTTACAACTCTAGTCTGGGATGGAAGATTCTGAAAATGCATAAATGTTAACATTTAAAGCATACAGATGAATAATGTTATAAGTATAGAAAGTTTTTTTAAATATTAAGTCTTTGGTGTGGAGTAGGTGTTTAAATCTAAGTTGGGAGAAATTGGATTAGCAGCTTCCAAGAAAATTTATATTTGGAAATTAGCTTGATTCAAAATTACTGTTTGATACATAAACTAGAATAAGTAAGGAAAGTAAATTTTGACTATCAGATTTCCATTGTTATGTCCTGTCTTTCTAACTGAAACTTACTTTTAGTTTGAAAAATAGCTCACTTTTACACACTTGGAGCAAAGTCATATGAACAGGAGTTTCAACATGCAGAAAAAAACACAAATATAGTTTCCAAGATCAGACAAGGAGTTTCTGTTAATACATTGATTTAGAGACAGTAGATCATGATGTGTTAGACAAGATGTTATATAATACAGTATAGTACATGTACACATCAAATTGCATTTGGTCATCTTTGCTTGAAATATTCCTTGAATTTTTTTTTTTTCAAATTAATTTTAAATTTTTTGATGTACAACATCTCTGATGAATATTGTCTTACTTTCTAACATGAGGACATTTTTGGATCCTAAGTGTAATTTTGAAGTTGTGTATCATACAAAACGAAAAAATCCAATTTTTAAAAAAAACTCGGCATATACCGTAAACTTATACATAAATGAAATGTACATCCTACTCTCAGTGATAAATAAAATATGTGTGTTTTCAAAGAACACTGAATTAAATGCCCTATTAATAAACATCAGGCACTACCTGTAGACCAACCTCTTTGAATCACTCACCCTTTCTAATGTTTCTAGTGTGACCCCCGCTGCTATTGAGAGGAAGAGTTTTTCTCTTGTGACTTTACACGACACTTCCTGTAATACCGGGGTTACGATGTGAGGTTTGACTGCTATGATGACCAGGTCACTGTTTTCTACAATCTCCAGGTTACTTCTGGTCGTTCTTACTCCTTGTTCCTATAAATAGCTCGAGATTTAAGGAATTCATAATGGCTAAATTAGAAATAAACACAATTATTCAATCTGGTTGAAATCAGATCTTTGTTATGCTCCAAAATTCTGTTATAGTTGTTGTACAGTGACTATCAAAATTTCAGAGCATAACAAAGATCTGATTTTAATCAGATTTTTAACATATCAAGATCTATCATTAGATGAAATTTTATTTTGATGCAATTCTAAGATTACATGGTAGTCTTGATACCTCATAATACATGTACATCTAAATACATATACCTTGTGCATTAAACAGTCTACTAAAATGTGTTACATGTATATACATATACCATGTGCATTAAACATGCAGTATACTAAAATGTGTTCCCTGAAAGATCTTACATGCAAATACAGTTCATGAAGGGGTTATACGACATGTGCATCAACACCAAAAACTTTAACCAGAGTCACAATGAATGGGATATAGCATAAGTTCTCCCAAACTTCATCAAGATAAGCTAAAATTTACAAATATATCATAAATATGGAGGTAAAGTTATTTATTACTGCTACTTTATATATTATTATTTTGAAAACTTGCATCATAAGTGCTTCACCAAATTCTAACTCTGCATCTTAGGCCCATTATTTTATTATAATCACCAGACTTGAAGTTCCATAAGTTTGACATAGATAGATTAGGATGTACTGCATACATTTTTTTATGTTTAAAAGGAAAAAAATATTTGAAACTAACCATTTTGTCTGACAGTTTCATACAATTTACAGCCCACAAATTCTATAAAGGTTTAGCAAGCCCAAGTTTACATCTCATCACTAATATTAAATGCAGTAAACAATATGAAGTTATTATATTTGTTATTCAAAATTTCCATAACATTTTAATCATTTCAATAATAATCTCTCAGCCTGTTTCTTTTGGAATGCATGCAATCTAAACTTTATTCACAAAGAAGCAACATATTTTACAAACACATGGACTTGAATTGGTTAACTTTTGACATGACAAGCCCAACATTGAACAACTATTTGTTAAGCATGAGGCATAGAGCTGTGTGTTCATGCATGCAGTCTTTCATACAAAATTATTAACTGCTTTTTCAAGAAGTTTGTTTGCCCTTTACCCACTTGTCAGTAGGTAGGTAAAAAAAAATTTCCAGAAAAAATTCAACATCAGTGCTGAAATTGAAGGTGTTATTAAAATTAAAATAGTTGTTGATGAGATGTGAAAATTCCAGAATGAATTAAAAAAATAATCATTTCCTAGAGGTTTAAAAAAAAGTTTTTTGTTTAGAGGGAGAGAGCAAACAGAATTGTTTTAAGATGGCCTTACCAGTAGTTAACAGATCTGTAACTTACCCTGATACAATCTAACATTTGAGGAACTGCATCACTGGCTATTATTTTGTGAGGTTTTAGTATACCTTTATAAAATAATAAAAATAAATTTGATACAGTAAGTACAGCAACATTCATTGTCTTCAAACAATGTACATTAATTATCACACCCAAGATAATGTCTACAGTTTTAGAAGAACTGAGAACTTATTATGACAAGAAATACATGTACAATAAAAAAATATACAACTACATACAGTACAAAGCATTTTCTACAATGCTGAAATGACAAAGAAATTTAGGTTTTATAACTTGTGTGAGATTAGTTACCAGTTTTTCTCCAACTTGAGTTTCTTAATCTTTATAATTGTCAATGGACACAGGGATTGATGAGTTTCTATTGACAAATAAAAAGTTAAGGAATGAGAGTTGGAGAAAAAACAGTATATAAGATATATGTATACTTTGTGGAACCGGCAACTAATATTCTTCAAATCATCTATATAATTATCATCATTACTGGATGAATCAGTAAACCAATATTACACAGACAATGTGACATCATATTAATATAAGTAGTGTATTATTACAATATTGATGTCAAGACAGCCAATCAATAGACCTTCTCTTACAATTTAACTCAATTCAATTCAATTGTTTATTTACCAATTAAGGGCCCTCAAGGGGCAAAAAAGAAAGTACATTGTAAACACCTGTATACTTTCATATATGTTACAGAACCAATAAAATAATCACTATGTGGGAGTGATGAAGCATATGCTGTAACCGACTACATGTATTACTTGCAGCAACTTTTATATTTCACAATTTGTCAGTTTGAAATCTATCTTAATCTATGATGACTAATTTTTTTCGCGACTGAGGAATAACTCTACATGTAAGTACACAATGAAATAAAAAGTTCACAGTGAGACTTATTTGCAAATAAATAAGAAGGTCACAAAATTCGCAGATATTTCTCACAGTTGGTTTACAGTATGTTATTGAAGATTATGAATTAAACATCAGCAAACCATTTAGTCTCTCTTTTATGTTTTTTTTTTTTTTAAGAAGCATTTGAAATAAAAGCATTTAATTTGGGAGGTTCTAGGAAGAATGCAGAACAAATTGATCTGACTTTTCTGCGACTTTACTAAAATTTCTCTATTTCTTGATATTTCTTCTTCTCTCTCTCTCTCTCTCTCTCTCTCTCTCTCTCTCTCTCTACTTTAAGAAGATTTAAGAAAATCAGTATTTCGTTCAAGCATTATTTAGTTTTTTTAAGGACAAGGTAAATAAGATGATGCAATCAATTACTGTTTTTCAAAATGTCTTAACCTGGCATACGAACAGCTGATGTAAGAAAAAGCCACATCATGAAGCATCAACATGATCCCTGAGTGACCTTGGCATTGTCAATCAATACCTACCAACAAATTTTAAAACTGGGTAAAAATAATAAATAATTCTAATGAATATATTCCAATCTGAACATAATCAATAAAGACTTGTATTGACACATTTCATGTCCAATATCAAGACATGTTTAATGTATTCATATAATCATATAACACTTTTATTAAGTGTTGACATGCTTGGTGTGTAGTACTTATGTATATGATTTGGGGTGAACAAATCTCATATAATATTAATATGTAATATTAAGATTACTGAAATATTCGGCCCTCAGGAAACTGTCATAAAAGCAAACAGTTAACATGGTTACGGTTAAAGAAAAAGAGTCTGTAATGCATACTCTTCTATTTGTCAATTTTTATTTCAAAATATTTCCACTTTAAAATTAATAAATTACATTGACATTTTTTTTTTATCTTCAGCTTAAAAGAGCTAAACTTCTTTACAAGATCAATTTTTTTTTTTTTCATAATCCGGTGTAACCGGCAACTGGTGGTGATGCAATATTGATCTCACTCAGTCACAAAGTGCAGTGTTAACATTATCTATATTTAGAGTGACTTCCCCTTTCTTTTTGCCACCGACTAAAAAAAACAATTTGATTTTCTTACCTTTGGATATAAAGCCACGACTCATGGCCTGTGCCATTCGGCCAGCCCCTATAAATCCTATGGTCATGCTCTCACTGACTGTGAATCTCTGATCTTCTGTTCGAGCCATAATAAGGTTTTATTTGGACACACGTTGTAGGATGCAACGTGCAATCAACTGTAACGACCTCTCCGGAAGTTGGTCAAAATTGAAAGTAGATTTGCATTTAAAATGGGGGCGTGGTTATCGAGAACACATGTGGATGATGCAATATTTCACTAGTTATTCTACTAAACGATATATTAAAGGAAATAAAATCATTATACTATGGGTGAAAAATTTAATACATAAACAAGTGTCTCTGATTCAGAGAACTATATGGTCTGTTTGAATACACAGGCACTTGAAGTGTCTCAAAAAATATGAGATTTCCCTGTCAATCACATCCACATTTCATTCCATGCAAACAGACTGTACTTTTTTCAAGTTTAGGGATTGGCCATACATTCGGTATAATAATTTTTTTCATGATTACACCGTATACAATGAAAAAAAACCGAGGACTAGAAAGAATAGAATAGGATTTATTACCAAATCAGGGCCCAATGGGCATAAACATATAACGTGTATAATTACAGATAAGATAACAGACAGAATACAACATATAATGAAGAGCAATTCTTCCATTTAGTACATTCATTTGGTGGTGTTTTGAGTTTCATATGTTGACATAGGTTGTCTTGATTTAGGATATATCTCTACTCTTAATTGATACAACTTAATGTGCAATGATGTGCATTACTATTACTAATATTATACATATAACTGAACATATAAAAAATGTCTGATACATCAACAAGAGGCAGCAAGAGTCGGTGCTAAAGGATATACAGAAATCCACTTCTGCCTCATGTAGAATAAACAGATACATATATGTTCATATTAATTTAAGATGTATCCTTCATCACAATTTGAGGTGTGTATATAACTAAATATCAAAAGCCCATTTAGTTAGTTATGATAAAGTAGGGATAAAATGACCAAAAGGTACGCATGGGACACAATGCTCACCTATGTCACCTCAAGTTGGCCTTGTTCCTCCCAAAACGCGGGATTTTAACCTCTTTATTCCCTAAGAAGAAATTAACCCCATATTGTGATCCACCCTAATCCTGATGGGAAACTAATGACTTACTAATGAATTGATTATATGAAGCTGCAATAATGTAGTTCTCACTAGTATTTTTAATACATATGTTTTCAAGGGCCGGAGCGCCCCCCCCCCCCCCCCATCCTCGCGTTGGTCCAACTGCAAAGTGTAGACTCAGGACCCCTGGCTTGCGAGGATGCCCCCCTCCCCCAAATGAGATGACTACGACTACATTATTGCAGCTACAATACAACATATTTTATTGAATCATAATCAATTGGATCGGGCACGTTTTTCCAACTTAGATTGTCAGTCTCTCCGATACAAAGAAAATGAACTATAAGTGTACAAGGGTTGACTACGAAAGCCTATTAGGATCAAACTACGGTAAAAAAAAAATTTTGTAAAGGCGCAATAACTCCTTTCCAAAAGGCGTTATAACGCGAAAAAAGGCGTTATTACGCCTTTCCAAAAGGCGTTATTACGCCTTTCCAAAAGGCTTATTATTACGCCTCTTTTTTTCAATACATGACTTACTTAGCCCACCTTGGGGGCTGATTATAATTAGATTTCCAGGAAAAAAGATTTTTTAATGTGTAAAATATTTTCAGTGTTAAACCAACTTAGTCCTTTTCTGATGCCAGACGCCTCTACCAAGGTGCATGGATTTCAGAAATTTGGTTGAAGGCTAATTGCTCATTATACCTATGCAAATAGTTTGCCTGTTTTTTTCCAAGAGGAGAGAAAAATATTTCAAATTTGACATGAATTTTTGATACGTGGCTAGCAAAGCCCAAAGCTGGTTCTGCCTATATCCTGGATTTTCAAAAGTAGAGTGTTGACTTCTCTTAATAAGCATGCAAAATGCAAACAACTGTCTGCGAGATGTGCAGGAATATAGAGAATACTATAATTTATAATATAATTTATAATATTAAAACTATAATCTAAATATTGCATAAATAAAGATGGCTTTGGTTCAATCTTTCATATATTTACTATTTTAAAATAATGCCTTTCCATTTTTGGATATAACTCCTTTTCAAACAGGCCGGTAGTACGAATGCGGGGGGGGGGGGGGGGCTCCCCCACCCCACTTTTTGGGAGAATAATCTTGCTATAGTTTAAATATAAAAAAAATCATTTATTGATTGCTTGGTCCCTTAACATTTTGTTGCAGTATGGTTAAACTCGGGCAAGTCATTGCATTTAAAAAAGTTTTACCGAAAAGTTAGAAAAATTCCCCTCAAGTTTAGGCAGTTTATTTTTTTTCGGGAGGGGGGGTTGTTTCTTGGGTTTTTTTTGTTTGCTTGTCAATTTTATGGGAGCCCCCTCCCCCACTTCAAAAGCACGGGCCTGTCAAAGACATAATAATGGCCCTTCAAAAGGCATAATAACGCCTTTTTGAAAGGCGTATTAATGTCTTTTAGAAAGGCGTAATAACGCCTTTTGGAAAGGCGTAATAACGCCTTTTGGAAAGGCGTAATAACACCTTTTTTCGCGTTATAACGCCTTTTGCAAAGGCGTAATTACGCCTTTATTTGCGTTATTACGCCTTTTTCCGCTTTATAACGCCTTTTAAATTTTTTTTTACCGTAGTTTGATCCTAATAGGCTTTCGTAGTTGACCAACAAGTACGCGTAAATTTCACTAATGATATGAACTCTTATAACAGGAAATCAGCAACACATTTTATTGAATGATACCTCTATCCATAATTCAAATTTGTATACAGTGATATACTTTTAAAAACAAGAGGCCCAAGGGCCTTAATGGTCACCTGAGTATAATACAACAATTTAGAGAATCCATAGAGTATGAAATGAACTGAAAGGTGAACTTTTGTTGCCCAAAAGCAAGAAGTATAGGGTGATCAGGATCAACAAAATAATTTATTCATTACCAGTTCATAAATTATGTTTTGTTTATTTACAAACTATCAGGGCTTCTGTACTATTTTAATGCCTTGTTGTATTCTCTTACATTGACCTCTCTTGGTCTTTGATGAACATTTAATAAGACAAGTTATTTTTGTCTCATTTTTATTTATCTATTACTTACAAGTCTACCTGATCATTAATACTATGAAAGCACTTTTTTTATCATACAATATAAATTCTTGCATAATTTTCCTATTCTATTAACCTTTCAAGTACATTATTTACAGTGATTAATTATCAAAATAAATCGCAAAGGGGAATAACTCCTCTCAGTAGAATACAAATTAATAGAGCCCTGACCAGGACCAGTACACTTGACCGAATGGTTCAGATGTTCAAAAATCTGGTAAAAATACCCTTCTTTATTAAAACTTTTACTCTTTTTGCCTCATATATGCCCAGGTGCAGAGATGATTTTCAAAGAAATAATGCATTTTTACTAAAGATTCACTATATTCACTATATTATTAATACCCCCCCCCCTCCCCACCTAGAAACACCAGAGCCTCTCACCCTGGGACCAGAAGTTTGCTCATCATAAGTAATCATTTTGTTTATCTGCTGAACACTAAGGAGCAGACAGGATTATTTAATAGAATCAATGCATTTTCACTATATTATCAAGAGCTCCACCGTTACACCAGCACATCTGACCCAGGGGTCATGAAATTCACTACTCTGGAAGAAGCACTCTTGCTCATCATAACTATACACTTAGCTTCTTTGCGTTTTAACCAGAATATTTTCAAAGAAATTTTGCTTTTTAATTTTTGCTATATGATCAATAGAGCCCCCCCCCCCCCCACCTTTTCACCAGAACCCTTGAGCCTGGGGCCATGAATTTCACAATTTTGGAAGAGGCATTCTTGCATATCATAACAATGTACTTAGTTTGTTTAAATAATACCCAGGAGCAGAGAAGAAGATTTTTAAAGCATTAATGCATTTTCACTACAAAATAAATAGAGCCCGGTCCTAATATCAACACCCCTGATCTAGGAGCCATGAAATTCACAATTTTGGAAGAGGCATCCTTGCTTATCATAACTATGTATTTAATTTGTTTAAATAATACCCAGGAGTAGAGAAGAAGATTTTCAAAGAAATAATGCACTTTCACTATATGATCTATATAGTCCCGCCCTAGTACCAGAACCCCTGACCCTGGGGCCATGAAGTCACAATTTTTTTAGAGTCACCCTTGCTTATCATAATGATGTATTCAATTTGTTTCAATAATACCCAGGAGTAGAGAAGAAGATTTTCAAAGAAAAAATGTACTTTCACTATATGACCTATATAGCCCTGCCCTAGCACCAGAAACCGTGACTATGGGGCCATGAATTTCACAATTTTGGTAGAGTCACCCTTGCTAATCATAACTATGTATTTAATTTGTTTAAATAATACCCAGGCGTAGAGAAGAATATTTTCAAAGAAATAATGCACTTTCACTATATGATCTATATAGCCCCGCCCTAGCACCTGAACCCCTGACCCTGGGGCCATGCATTTCACAATTTTGGTAGAGAGCTCAATGCTTATTACAATCATGCCAACAGTTTGACTGCTTGATGTCCAGTAGTAAAGAAGAAGATTTTTAAAGACTGCATTAATTTTGGTGGTTTTAGCCCCACCTCTTAGGCCCCAGGGGGCAGGGACCATGAAATTCACAATTTTTTCCCCTTCACACATAGGTGCCATATGCTAAAATTGGCTGAAATTGGTTCAGCGGTTTCAGAGAAGAAGCTAAAAATGTTCAAATGTTAACACACGACACACGACGGACGACGACGGACGAAAACAGATAGCAATAGGTCACCTGAGTGACTCAGGTGACCTAATAATAAGAAGAAAACTAGAGCCGAGCTCGTTGCAATGCAACGAATAGGTCTTCCGTCGGAGCTCCGGACAGGACAGAGCGACCTTGAGTCAAGTTCATGCAACATTTTAAGGTTATAAACAATCCTGTAAGGGGCATCAACTTTCAATGTTTCAACAGTAGAAAGACAGTAAAGGAATGTAAAATTCCCCTGTCAGTGAACTTGAACTTGTCCAAATAACTTTGCGTCAAGCCATGACACATTCTGCAGCTTGCTAAG